CAACTTCAAATATTGTCAGTGGTGTAGCCTCTCATTTACACAAACTGGAACCCAAACTAATCTGGTTATATTTCTGGGATTAGGCAAAAAGCAGCAATATTTTCCTCTGCTATTTGCTGGAATAGAAAAGCTTGGGAATTTCATCAGACTTAAATGAATAGGACTTCAAGTGGCTCCCATCCCCTTTAATAGAAATTCACTCAAAGAAGTGAAGGGAAAGGAACAGGAGCAGTCACTCTTGCTGCCTTCCTCCCCCAACCCTTCTAAATTCCCAATAATGGGATGATGACTCTCAGCCATTGGAGAGAATCTATGACTAACCACCATGTTTGGAACAGGGACATTCCAGATTATATGGCCAGTGGAAAAGAACTTCTTGTCTAACTGCTGTACTTGATTACATTGTATGGAATGCCTTCATTACTGGAATCATTGGAACAATAATAGGATTTATCCCCAGAAACTTTTCTGAGCTGCATTTACCCACTTTAATGCCATGGTCTAAATGGAACAGGATGACCCCGCGAAGGGAGTTTTGCAGACTTACATCGCATACATCTCAGCTTTTGAGTGCTTCAGGATGTGACAAGCCACTTTCTGAATAGCAATATTTTGTTCCAGTGGAATTCCTACAGTTGATGACTGCATTAAAATCAATCAATCAATTGGAGATAACGTTTAATTCAATATTTCAAAACAAAGAGCAGTGTGAAAAGGGAAAAAATGAATTGTACAAGTGTACAACATTTGGGTCAAGGAAGAGTCAACATTAGAGTACTTGTTGGTTTCACTGATTTCAGGAGGAGCTCTACTGGCACAGTACTTCATTGGGCATCAAGCACAGTTGACTTCATTTAGATCATACTTGTCCTGTACTTTGTACATGGAAACATATCCCAGAGCATATCTAAAGGAGCCTCTTCTCCCATGTGCACCTACCCAGACCCTTAGATCATCTCTAGAAGTTCTTCTCCATGGGCCACCCCTAAAGGAGGTAAAGAGGGTGGCTTCAAGGGGAAGGGACTTCTTGGCTGTGGCACCATCTGTGGAAACAGCTCCCTGGGGAAATACACATGGTCTCAACACTAAATATGTTTCGGCACCAGATTAAAACATTCTTATTTCCCTTGCATTTTAATTTTGATTGTGGTTTCATTGGCTTTTAAACAGTTTGGTACAAGCGGAACAGTTAATATGTTATCATGCCTTGTTTTGCTATCAAATTTTATTGCTATGTAGTTGTCTATTTATTATTTTATGTATTTATTTATTCAATTTATATGCTGCCCCATTAGGCATAGGCTTTCTGGGTGGCTTGCATCATCATTACAACATAAACAATACAAAAGGTGCATGATAATACACAATCAAAACCAATAACAAAAAAATGTAAAAAACTTTCAAAATTTGATAAAGCCAAGATCACCAAAATAAAATAATACGAGTTAATCGCATAACCCCAAAAGTCAGCAGCCATTAAAATTAATCATGTCAAAATCTAGCATTAAAACAACTTGGCAGCAGCACATTGGCATATAGATAAGATTAAAACATCAATAAAAAAATCAAGGTTACATAATCAAAATAACTGTGGTACAGATACTTTATGTCTTTAGTTGGCCCCTAAGGACCAGGCCCCAACCATACCGCCAATGGAATCGGGTTCCAGAGTGTGGGTGCTATACTCAAAATAGCTCTCCTCCTTGCAAACTCCCCCCTCACTGTGTTGTGGGGAGGAATGCGGAAGAAGACTTCAGACGACCAGGCTGGTACATATGGCAAGAGCTCTTCCTTTAGATAACCTGCCTTTATGACAGGCAAGTTAGTTTAAAAATTGTTTTTAAATAGATTATTTGATATTTTAAAGTATATTCTGTACACTGTTCTGAGAGCTCGTCCAATTGAATGGTATAGAAATACCTTAAATAAATAATCATAAAATGGTTATAAACTACCAGCAGGCTCTGATGTGGCTGACCATAAGCTTCTGAACATGGAAATGGAAGGAGCATGCAGGTAAGGCTGTCTCTGCCCTGTGCCCACCTGGAAAAAGACTCAGAAGGCCAATTCTGGTCTACTATCTCTTTTGCTCCTACTTAAAAAGTACAGACTGAGGCAGTATGGGAAGCATAACTTCCTGATAGGGTATCATTTCTCTCTCCTTGTCCTCTGGAACAGCCACTCAGTGCCAGCACTGAGGTTGATCTTTTAACCTCAGAGAATCAGCAGGTATGGGGAAAACCATGTCAACTGTGAGGGCAAAGGGCAAGTGCTCCATCCTTAGTGATCCCTTGTATGATCACATCCAAGTTTTATTCATGCATGCATTTCAGAACACTGAAAAATAAGTGAGGGAGAGATTCTCTGGAAAAGTCATTTTCAGTGTTCAGTGAACACAAATGGGATCTGTAGTATAGGAGAGGCAGAAAAGAGAGAAATAAAAGTGGAGCAACTACACATATGCACATTTTAGAGTTCTTTTTAGAATATTTTCTAGCCAAAGTAGAATTCCAGAGGAGGGTACGCAGTGCAAGGTCAATGTCTTGGACTGGGCTATTAGGAGAATGGAATGTGGGGAATCTGTCTTTCCCACTGGCCATGTACTAGTGCTTCTAGGAAACCCTGTTCATACCAAGTGATGCACTATAAGCTGGAGCAAACATAATCTTGTTCTGTTTATGTCAGGCCTGAAAATGGCAAGAGCCACTTGTTCACCTGGATCCCTGCCATGAGTGACCATGCAAGGAAAGGAGAGAAAATACAGTAGGATGTAGAGAAAGATGTGGGATTGTGGATTCAAATCGTGTTTGAAGAGCTGCTGCCAAGTAGACAACATCTAGCTAGATCTATCCCTGTTTTGAGATGACATAGAGCAGTTACATGGAATCGAGCTGAGCTGACTTTTCAGGCCTCTCCCACTACAAAATATCATGGCCTGATTTGGGGGATGTTGAAATACCTTTTCGTAGAAGCAGGCATCCTTGTCCTCAGCCTTGCAACACTCTTCCATAAGATGTACGTGCCTATGGGCTGCAGCATGGATTTCGGCAACGTTTGCAAAAGGCCTCCTTCTGGCAACCTCATACTCAAAGCTATGTTTAAAGAAATAATTAATCTGTGCTGCACTTTTGCAAAGCAAAGGATCTAGTCTTTATAAAGAAAGCTGACATCAACAGGAAGAGAATAAGCAGTCATTTCACCAAATTAACTGAACGTGAATACAAGAGGGAGAGATTCAAATTCTGCCGAAGAGACCAAGGCTGTGCACAGCTGTCCTGTTGAAATCCCAGTCACTTCAGTACAGGAGATTTGACAGTATCTGAATCGGGATCAGTTGGCAGCACTCCACTGCAGATATGTGGGTAAATATACCCACATATCTGCAGCAGCAGCCTTGGTCAAAAGTGAGGATATGCCCCAAATTATAATCTGTGGCAGGACCTCAGAACATAGGAGTGTATTCCTGTATTTGATATTTGGCAGCTGACATGAAGTAGCCATCAGGATTCACAGTTCGGTGAATGACAGTATTCAAGAGAAACAGAAGCATAATTCTTCAAAAAAGAAAGAAGGACAGCACTGAATCACTGTACTCACTGGTGCATTGTTTCTGCCTTGTTATCATGAAACTCTTTGCAGAGCACCTCGTGAGGTTGAGGATCTATGGGTGGAACGGCTCCTTCACTTCCATTTTTATGGGCGTGGAAACATTCTTCTTCCTCTGCCCCCTCTTTAGCACAGCATTGAGTGAATCCATATTTCTCAATCAGAGCTTGTTCATGACAAATTTCAGCACAGAATACATCAGTCTGGTGGACAGAATTAAAATATTGCTTTAATTTATTAGAAATAAACTCGTTCTTATTTTACCTATTCTCATTAGGCAAACTACTGCATGGTGTTTCTTTTGGAAATCTCTTAACCCCCCTAAATTAGATATTGGTACAGGTTGGAATGCCAGAGCCCTAACAAATACTGCTTTCATTTCATGCCCTTTTCATTTCCTGTTGCAGTTAGGGATCCTTGTTTACTTTAATAATAACAATAATTTCAATTCTATCAGCAATGCACTCATACTTTATATAGCCACAACAAAGTCTGTATTCAGTGGATTTTTATCCTATCCATGATTTCAGACCAATTTAGGGCATTTATTTGAGATTACAGGATGTCTGAAATGTAGCCAAAAATATGTGAAAGGGTGTACTTTTCCCAAAAGACGTGGTGCCGAGAGAAACTGTGGTTGATCCATGTTCTCTGCAATGCATTTCTTGAGCAAGCATTGAAAGAACCTGGGAATAGGGCACATATGCTACAGAATACAATGGTACCTTGGGTCATGAAAGCCTTGGGTCATGAATGCCTTGGGTCACAAACAAAAATTTCATGAAATTTTTGACTTGGGTCACAAACCCCACTTTGGGTGGTGACCAAGATCGCAGCCATCTCCCAGCCATCTCCCCCCACCCCCGAGTGGGGAGATGGCCACAATTGCAGTCGTGTTTGTGCAGGGAACACATGCGTGATCATGGCTGTGCTGTGCTGCGCCTGTCTTTCCAGCAGGAGTGTGCCTGTGATCACGCACGTCTTTCCTGCATGAACGCAACTGCGATCCTTGCCATCTCCCCACTCAGGGTGGGTGGGGAGATGGTCGAGATTGTGCCTGTCTTTCCTGCAGGAGCGCGCCCATGCCAGGATTTCCTTGCGAAGCACCACCCCAACATAAATGTAACAAACAGAGTGTTGAATCTGATGAACAATAACGTGCTCTCTCATTTTCGGAGGGTTATGCAGCGCAGGAAAAAACAAGTGACTATAGGCAGATTTTTCACCAAAATTGACCCTGCAGCTAAGAGACAAAGGGAGAAAACCCCTGAAAGAGATCTCTGCAATGTCCTTTTGCAGGGGGGCTCTCCCTCAAAACAATAATCTCCCCCCACCCCCACCTAGGTTAGTGTTCTCCACTGTACTGTACAGTACTTTGTTACATTGTTGTTCTTTGTCACTTTGTTTCAAAATTTCTGATTAAAAAAAAGTTACATAACGAATTAACCTTATTTACACTGAACCTTGTGGGGAAATTTGACTTGGCTCGTGACCAAAAACTGGCTCACAACCACTTTGGAGGGGCCAGAATGGATTGACCTGATTTACATTGAATCATATGGGGAAATTTGACTTGGGTCACAACCAATTTGGGTCACAACCAGAGTCGTAGAACTGATTAAGTTCATGAGCCAAGGTTCCACTGTATCTCTTACTCCTGGAAAGGGTTCCCCATGGCCATACTGTCATGTCTAAAAAGTTGATGCTGAGAGAGAAGCTGCAGCAGGGTAGAAGCTGCCCTTAAATCTTGGTTGGCACCTAGCTGGGCAAGATCTTTTATTAACCTGGGAGATCTAGCTTAGTTTTCTAGATGCTTGGAACTTTGTTTTCCTTTGATGAAATTGGTACCTATAATTCTTTATTTTGGATGGGTGGCAAGATTGCATTATATACTCACCAAAAGAAGAAAATGAATCTATGACTGACTAAAAGTCTAGTGTATCAGTATTTGTATGGGTGTTCTTCAGATTTAGGTTCTGGAAGCTTACCAGAGAGTCTGAACATTGTTTGTCTGAGCTTTCATCAGTGGTACATTTCTTTGCAAGCTCGACACCATTATCTGCCAGTTTTTTTATTTCTTCATATGAGGCTTGCTGTACTTGCTGGGCATTCAGGATTAAGAGACTGGGGAGGAAAAAGCAGAAGTGATCATGAAAGCCATGGATTTTATTTCTCATCAGGCTTTCTAACTGGGTGCATTTCTAAGCACATTGTGCAGAATGTTGCTTTCAGTTTATGATGCAAAAGTAACTCAGCAAGGCTGCTGATACACTTCCAACCCTCACTTTAGCCCTTCATTTCATGAGGGCAAACACCTGAGAGGGTTCCTAGAATGTACAAACACCCAGGGCAAACACGTTCTTAGGAATGGTGGCCAAGATGTAGCTAAGAAATATCTTTATTAGGGATACACATACCGTAACCCTTATACTTTTGGAAGAAAGTGTGCTGGGCAGGAAATGGTTCTAAGTTTGACTTTCAAAATGTAAGATGGGAAAGGTTACAGTTGTTGGGTGGTATAGAAATCAAATGAATGAATGAATGAATGAATGAATGAATGAGAGAAAGAAAATGGGCTTGATGAGATAAAGATGCTCAAGGCAACATTCCAAAAAGTCTTGAATTGTGACTGGCCTTATCAGTAGATTGCCCTCACCACGGAACATTAACCAATGGCAGGCTATTTTATAAAGACTGGAGTTAATTCAATTTAACTTTTTGCCAGAACTTTCACACAATCCTCAGTTAATCTTACTTGATTAAGCTGATGAGTTCTAACAGATCTATCAATTAGATCAGCATAGCATGATTAGACAATAGTTTTGATGCAAGAATACCTGCATTGATTTAGATCAGACTTGTCCAAACTTGCACTCCTTGGATGGGTTTAACCACAAGGTATCTTCAGAGTGCCAGCTTGTGGAATGCTGTTTTAGATTATAAAATATTTTTAGATTTTTAAAAATGTGATTGAGATGACAGGTTTTCAAACAAGGCTAATTCTAGATCAAGAGAGGTATTCTAGATCAAGAGAGGTATTACTACCACTCTATATGACTCTGGTGTGTCCGCAACTGGAGTACTGTGCTCAGTTTTGGGCCCCTCATTACAGAAAGGATATAGCCAGGTTAGAGTCAGTGCAGTGTAGGGCCACAAGGATGGTGGCTGGTTTGCAGGGGATGCCATATGAGGCGAGACTGAGGGAACTGGGTCTCTTCAGCCTGGGGAAGAGGAGACTCAGAGGGGATATGTTGGCGACATACAGGTATGTGAGGGGATGTCACATGGAGATGGGTAGAGACCTGTTCTCCTCTGCAGAGGAAGGCAGGATGCGCTCCAACGGAGCAAAGCTCAGGGAGCCAAGGTTCTATTTAGATGCCAGGAAGCATTTCCTGACAGTTAGGACCCCGACGGTGTGGAATGGGCTTCCATGAGAGGTGGTTGAGGCCCCATCGGTGCGGGTGTTCAAGGATAGGCTGGTGACAGGCATGCATATGGTGGGCATGTTGTGAGCAGAGCTGGCTGGTGCTGGAGGTCAGACTAGATGGCCCGGGAGGCCCCTTCTGACTTGCTCTATGTTTCTAGTTCCATGTTTGAGCTGGCCCTCTTGGCTATAGGTTTACTTTGTGGCAATGATGGCATGGAAGCTGATATTTTAAATTTCCCACAGTCTGTGAACATCCTGCAAGCCCATGTTCAACAACACTGTGGGAATGTAAAACTGGTCACATCTTAGTGGCTAACCAGTGATGGGCAATAGGACCACTGGGACCTCCCAGGGCAATGGGGTCATAGCACCTTCCTAAGGAATCCTCATTAATCAAAAGAACCTGGTTTGGTCCCCAATTTGGAAGTTCAGAAAATAGCCTAATTTGCTTTGAAACGATTCAGAGGCTTCCGAATTTGAGACTTCAGGCTTGAATCAATCTCAAAGGAAATATCCAAAGCTCCATGCCTCCCTTTGAGTATAAGCAGAAATCAACAAATGGCTATAAACCTTTTGGGTGCTGGAAGTTCTGGAAAATATTTGAATGAGGCTTTAAAGACCCCCAAATGTCAGGAAAATAGGTGGAGGATGCTTTCTACTAGTTGTCTTTATGTGAGTATGCTTTTTTTAAAATGGCTGCCAAAACTTTTTCTATTTCGTCAATTAATTTGATGGACATGAATGTCCTTCTTGGAGGATGAGGCCTATTGAGTGTGAGATGAATACAGGAAGAGATATGTGTGTAAGAGCAGTCCTTACACTTTTGGAGTTTTCCAAGAAAATATGCACTTACTATCACCCCATGCTTTCTGGGTGCACTTGTTATGAAAGTGATAGAAAGTTTTGATGTAGCCCAAGCTTTTAAAAAATGTGCCATTCCAGAAGGATAGGCACCAGTTTGATCTTTGCTTGCTTGTTTCTTTGTTTGGAAAGAGAGTCTTCAATTGAGTGAGTGTGTGTACTTATGTGGAAATGATCTGCTTTCCTTTTTCCCCATTGAATTTTGGGGGACAATTCATTGCAATAGGCATACTTAATAAGAATGATACATAGCATCTATACAATTTCAGAAGGGGTTAGAATGAATGAGATGCATCTTACAGTTTTCTGTTCAGTTGTTTACACAAAGTGCGATAGATGAAAGTGCAGCATACAGTGGGCAAGACTTGGACATTTCACATGCTCTAGGCAAGCACCCAATTCTATACCCTCCTCAGTCCCCCTAGAACAGTCCTGTGATAAATATTTGTAACATCGCTTCTCCCACAGCACTTTGATTTGAGAACCTGGTAAAACCATTGATTTGAACCTGAAGCTACCAGATTTCACCTTTTCACCTTTCTCCACCCTGATACTTTTCTTACAGAAAAAGTCTACAGAGAAATGCCACCATTTTTGCATACATGCTCCTGTCTGTCTACTCCTTGGAATCTCCAAATTGCTTATAAAGAATTGTGAGTGCTCAAATGTAGCTCATTTCAGCAGAAATCCATTGGGCATTTCCCAGATCCTTCAGAATAATTCCAATTCTGAAAAGAATTTGGGATTTCTGCAAATCTGATGGACACTCAGACTCATCCTGTAAATTTCTTGTAAATTGCCCAGAGTCTATGGGAATGGGGTGGTATGTAAATATTAAAATATATAAATATATCTAAATAAATCCTGCATATAACAGAGAAGGGAAATGAAGAGGATATCTGCCCACTGCAGATTTTATAAGACATTGTGATAAATACTAATCACTATTTAAAAAATCATTGCCAGATTAGTAGAAGGATAATCTTTGATCGAAAAGTTTTAATCAAATAATCCAACCAATTAATCAATTAAAATCAAGCCAAGAAATTAGCACTGTATCAACATTCATAGAATGTTGTTATTGTCAGCCTGAATTTCTCTGGTACTTTTAGTTCACAATCACTGTACCTAATGCTCTCATTATTTTTGAATGAGGCACTACAGGCTATTTTGAGCAAAACTTTCTGAAAGGACTTACACGTCGAAGAAATCTTCACCTGTCAGTTCATAGGCCTGTTTGATGGTTTTAATTTCTGTAATGAAAACAGAGATCAACGCTTCAATCAACACACCTCATAGTGTCAATATATCCAAAAACTTCTTTTTACAGCACTGTGCTGTGCATAACTATCCTGGAATAAATTTCATTGTGTTCAAAAGCGCTTGCTTCTAGGTATGTGAGCAGAGGACTACAGCTTTAGTGATTTCAAAGAGAGGGTGTTGGTGCAGAAGAAAGTATATCCCATGACCACTGCCTTTGGCTGCAACAGGTCCAAATCAGAGCTGCAGGCTGATGGATTCTTGAAGTTCTCCACTATATTCAGGAGATTTAGGTGGAGTGGAAGCAATGCTGCCATCTTCAAAAACAATAGTGAAAAAAACAGGAGAAAATTCTACAAAGTGGTTGTTTTATTTCTGGGGGAGGGCCAGAAAATAAATGCATAAGGGCTTCTCTGAGAAAAAGTCCTCTGAAAAAATTCTGAGAATTTTTAGCTCAAATTTAGTTGTCATTCTTCTGGGTATAGCACCTATCACAGCGGTTTCAGATGTTAGCTTTCTGACTGGACTTTTGGATACATCTCTCTAATGTGAGTTCTGATAGTGTTGCACTCAGTTCCAAAAAATCTGACCTCTAATTTTCTGTATGTTGTCTTTCCCTGTGAATAAGTCTTCTATTCTTCTGCCTCCTTCTTAGGACATTATATACTCTATTTTGATTCTATTTTGTTGGTTGTTGCCTACCTAATCATTAAGAGGGGGCCAATGGTACTGTGTGGATTTTTTGTTTTGCACATGTCTTCATTGCTTTTCAGTATCTTGGGCTGCCTGCAATTCCTAATCAGAAAAGGCCCCATTCACGGGATAGGAAGTGTGGGAAGCCAAGGATGCTGCAGACTACCAGAGACCTGTTTTGTTTGTGCGATGAATAAGATAAGCACAAGAAACCTGAGCCAAACCTATGCAGATTTCTCTGAGGTTTCTTCCCTGGATTTATTTTTGCAAACATTTTTTCCCTATCAGATTGAATGGGAATGTTGAATAAGTGGTGGGAGGAATTTTTGGCACAGTATTAGTTCATGTCTGTTTCTCCGTGAATTTGAAAATCTGGGGCAGTTAAGCCCCAGATAAGAAACATCAAATTGGAAGTGGTAGCATTCTACTGGAAACAATGAAATCTTAGTGAATTCTGAAAAAGTTATAGTTTAAGTTAAATTAACACAACTGGAGAAGGAAATGGCAACCTACTCCAGTATCTTTGCCATGAAAATCCCATGGTCATTGCACGCATTTCAAGCTAGGCTTCAGAAGTATGTGAACCGAGAACTTCCAGAAGTACAAGCTGGGTTTCAAAGAGTCAGAGGAACTAGAGATCAAATTGCCAACATTCATTGGATTATGGGGAAAACTAGGGAGCTCCAGAAAAACATCTACTTCTCCTTCATTGAGTGTGCTCAAGCCATTGATGGTGTGGATCACAGCAAATTGTGGCAAATTCTAAAAGAGGTGGGAGTACCCGCCCATCTTACTTGTCTCCTGAGAAAGCTGTATGTGGATGAAGAAGCAACAATCAGAACTGGACATGGAACTGCTGATTGTGAAAGGAGTATGACAAGGCTGTATATTGTCACCCTGCTCATTTAACTTATATGCAGAATACATCATATGAAATGCTGGGTTGGATGAATCACAAGCCAGAATTAAGATTGCTGGGAGAAATATCAATAACATCAGATATGCACATGATACCACTCCAATGGCAGAAATTGAAGAGAAACTAAAGCAGCCTAGGAAGGTCTCGGCAATTATAGGTGGCCTATAAATATATGGAAATAAATAAAATAAATAAAGAGCCTCTTGATGAGGGTGCAAGAGGGGAGTGCAAAGGCTGAATTGAAACTCAACATTAAAAAATGTAAGATCATAGCATCTGGTCCTATCACTTCTGGACAAATAGAAGGGAAAGAAATGGTAGTGACAGATTCTACTTTCTTGGACTCCAAAATCACTGGAGACAGTAACTGCAGCCATGAAATTAAAAGATGCTTGCTTCTTCAGAGGAAAGCTATGGCAAAGCTATGGCAAAGCTATTGCAAAGCCTTCTCCACAGTGGTGCCCAGACTATGGAATGCGCTCCCCAGAGAGGTCTGCCTGGTGCCAATTTTATACTCTTTATGGTGTCAGGTAAAGACTTTTTTATTTAACCATCATTTTAACAATTAATGGGTTTTAGACATTTTAAGATTTTTTGTTTCTTTTTATTTTCAGCCACACTTTCTATTTTATGATTTTTTAAGTTTATAATGTTCAATTTTAGATATTTGAATAATTGTAGTTTAAATATTATATTTCAGAAGTCTCTGCTTTTGCCTTGACCCAGGCCACCAATAGAAGGTCAAGAAGGTCACCAGGAGAAAATGCAGCTTTTGCAGGTACCTCAACATGGCTCTAGCTGATTCTTGTACTTGAAGCCAAGATTACAGTATGCATATTTACTCCTCCCTTGCTTTCTCCTGTCTAGTAACACATATCTGCATCATAATGACACAATGTTGTCCCTGAGAGGAGGAACCATTAACAGGGAGAGCTAGAATGCAGTGATCACATGGGCATGCATGCTAGACATTCCAAAAGAGTGCACAAGACACATAGGCAGCATTTTAGATGTAGATCATGTCATCTGATTCCCTAGAAAGGCATGAGCTTTCTGATGCAAATCCCACTGTAGCAAACCAGCCTTGTGCAGAAAAGTTTCCCAATGGACTGAAGCCCTTGTTTTTGTTCCAAATCTAGTTCATACTAGCCATCTGAGAACAATGGTTTGAAAAGCTCAGACTTCATAGAAGGAAAAAGAGGAAGAAGAAGCAAGATTCTTACCTACATCCCGAGCTCTTCTGGGCAATCCCCTTGATTCAGCAAAGCTTAGCAAGAAAAGGCAAGAGATGACTGTTACCCACTTCATGGTTCCAAATTGGTTAGGGGCTTGAGTATGCAGGGTAGGAAGAGCAAAGGGGAAGATGATGCTCTTATACTCTAGCACACACATGTTGGATTAATAATCACCCTCTGTATGCCATAAGTTTGGGGAGGACACAAGAAAAGGCCATGCTAATAATTAACTTGATAAAATATTTATTTGTATTGTTGTTTTGTCACAAAACATCCAGGAAAATGTTTGTTTTGAAGGATCAGGGCAAATATACATTAACCTTATCATACTTCAAATGCATTAAGCAAACTGCCTTCCCTTTACCCTGTATCTGAAACACCAACCTTTCCCCTCTCAAAATTTTGACCAAAATGAATGGGAATGGCATGATTGGGCTAGTGCTTTCCTCCCTTTTTTCTTTTTTTTCAAGTTAAAGAACCCAAGTTCATGGGTTATGAGTTCTGTGACGTTAGTTTCCAAGGTTGCCAATGAGTCAACATTTGTTCTTTGGCAACAGAGTCTGAACTTCTGGGCTGGACATAGATAAAATGGTGTTATGTGTCTCTTCACAAAGCCTATCCATATATGCCTGTCTGGCCTTTGAGATATATGCAGGGGGCCCTCTTGTGTGAGCCACCCCTAGGGAAGTGAGAGGGGTGGCTGCTTGGAAGAGAGCCTTTTCTGTGGCTGCTCCCCATCTCTGGAATGCTCTCCCCAAGGAGATTTGCCATGCACCTTCCTTATACTCTTTTTGGTGCCCGGTGAATACCTTCCTTTTTAAAAAAGTGTTTTATAATTGACTTCACTAAACCTTCATTGTGTATCTCTATCTGTATTTTATTAGTATTGAATTTTAAAATTGTTTTACTGTGTTTTTTTTATAGGCTGCATGCAAATGTTTTAAATAAATAAATAAGCATGGCAGATGTTTTCCTCCACATTTGCGAAACAACAACAACCATAATAATAGTTCCTATTCCTTACATGTTGTGATAGGTGTTTTGAAGGTGCAGTAGTATGACAACGTAAACCACACCTGTACTTATTTGTCACTGGTGAGAATGGACACTGGGAAGAAGTTCACATCTACTCCCCAAAACTTAGCCTATTGTTCCAAAGCACAGCGGACTCCCTGGAGGGAACCCATCTGTTGGGTGAGATAGCAGAGGGCCAGATAGTACAGTCCTGCTAGTGAGTGAGCCCTTCTGGAACAAAGGAGAACTGAGAAAATTCCTTGAACTATGGGGCAGCTCAGAGGCCTTGGAGCATTTCAGGTCCACACAGCATGACAATCTCTGTCCATGGTTTTTTGTGCAGCTGAACAAGGGGCTTCTTGTGCACCACAATCAAGTGCCATGATGCCCCGTGTGCCCTCAGCAAGAAGTTCCAGGAGATAATCATGCACAATTAGAACTCCAGGGAGGCCCCAGTATCACACTCATCTATGTACCTCCTCCTTGATCACAGAGATGTCACACCTGGCAACACTCAGTGTCATTTTCTGGGATATCAGCTGCTGGGTATCAGTTGGGGGCACCAGGACCCAGACAAGTGGCATGATATACAGGTCCATTACAAATCATAGTCAGGCAGTTCAGAGATCAAGGCAGGTAACAGAATAGAGCAGAGCAGTCAATGCCAGTCAGGAGTTGAAAGCCAGAAACAAGCCAAGGAGAAGTGGATACCTGGGATTGGAGCAGAAGGTGGAACAGGTAAAGCCAGGCATGGTTCAGAAGTAGAGGCATGAGCAAGGCAACAGACACAGTCCCCAGAGACGAGCTCCAGAGGGCACAGAGCACTCCAACATCACCAGAAAGCCTAGGTGCTAAAGCCACATCTGAAGGGAAGAGCTGATTCTTATATAGCCCTTCCCTCAGGGCTCCCAGGTGGTGCTCGTAAGATCCCAAGTGGCTGCAACTGACTGTCAGCCCAGTCAGGCAACCACCAGGGTGGTTATTCTGGTCTCTAGCCAGAAGAAGGAGCCCTGGTGCTGCCTCAGAACCTCACAGTCAGTAGACAGAACTTGTGATGACCATCTTGGGTTCTGTGTGAACCATCCCACCGCTGCTGCTCATGCTTGCTTCCTATGTTTGCATCATCACCACCATTTGGAAAATCCCTTCAAACTGTAGCAGGAGCAAAGCCTTTTCTACCTGTTCTCCTCATCTCTCTGTGGTCACACTTCACCTGTACCTGAAACCCCCTGGGGGGTTCACAACATTAAATCACCTGTCCAGATTTCAGCCAGGCCCACCCTGGTTAGCTTCCAAGATTAGGAAGGATCTGGCACTTCAGGTTATACAGAAGATATAAGAATAGCAATATAGCTATAAGTTAAAGACATAGCAATCCTATGGATAACTGCTCAGATGTAAGTCCCAATGAATTCAGTTGAACGAATTTTCAGGAAAACATGTAAAATATGATAATATTGCATTTTTATCCCAGCTTTCTTACATGTTCAAATCACCCAAGTTGGGCTATAAGGTTACCTCCTCTCCATTTTATCCTCACAACAACAATTCTGTGAGGTAGGTTTGGCCGAGAGTTTGTGACTGGCCCAATTTACACTGCGAGTTCCCAGGCTGAGCAGGGACTGGAATCCGGAGCTCCCAGTCTAGCCCTTGGAACTGCCACACCACATGGCTCCCCATAGCAGGTAATTCAGGTGATATCAACTAGGTGCTTAAAGCCACATATTTTAACTGGCTGAGTAGCCATTCTATTTTCATCTGGAATCCTGGTAATTGAACATCTATGAAGAAAACAGTATGGAGCTTGACTTTTTTTCCCCCCGAGACATGCATTCTTTCCCTTTCTTCACACCTCCCACCCATTAAAAATGACAACACCCTTGACTTCTGTGACAGTTGGTACCCATATCTTGTTTTAGCAAGCCTGTCCCAGTTTTCTAATTGTGGTGATAGTGCAACAGGCTGAGGGAGCAAGATATATATGGGGAATATGAAAGAGAAAAGGTTCTTGAAATTTGTCCCACAGAAAGCAAATGTGCAGGGCAAGCCACTGGAGTCTGGTGGCATGTGTAATAATGGGAGTTTCATAGAAAAGGGTTCTGTTCTTTTCCCTGTCATTGATGAAATAATCCAACAGTGGCTGTACATATGACGGCAAAACCTCTTCTCCTGTTGCTGAGAGTACATGAAGACATTTGGGGGTGCCAAGACATAGAAGCTTAAGCCCTAAGAAAAGGTAAGTTTATCTGCCTATTAATTCATGGATTATAGTGTTTTGTCCTTTCTTGCTGCAGTTTGAAAACACAATAAACTGGTCAGGTGGTTGTGGATGCAATAACTATGAAAAAAAAGTCTTTCTCCCTTTGCCTTTCTTGCTGATCCTTGAAATACTAATGGTGCAGCCTCACAGGAACAGACATGCTGAAAAACTAGAAGTTGCATAGCTGACACCTCAGCATCTTAGCCATTTCATCTCAAAACACACCATGAAGAATGACCAGAACACTTTTTTTATTTACTTCCATAACTTTCATTTTATTTATTTTTCAGCTGATGGTAGCTATCTCCAACACTTAAGGAGAACCCTTCTCAAAGTTTCCTTGACCTCTCAGTTTCTCAGGCAGTAGATGAGAAGTTTCAGCAAGGGTGTCACGACGGTATAACCATCAGTTCATTCATTTCTGGTAACAAATACACCATCACAAGGGATCCATAGAAAATGGCCACGACAGTGAGATGAGAGGAACATATAGGGAAGGTCTTTTGCCTCCCTCCTTTGAATGAAATTTTCAAGATTTTAGAAATAATACAAACATACGATGTTAATGTTAGGGAAAAAAGGAGGGGTGGTGAACCCTGAACACAGAATGACTACCAATATGAAAAACAGCTGTGTGTTACTGTAAGAAAGTTTAAGGATGGGGAGAGAGTCACAAAAGAAATGGTTGAATATATTTGGGCAACAGAAATGTAATTGTGACAAAAAGAGTGTTATTACAGCATTGACAAGAAAACCGTTTGACCAAGATCCACACACCAGATTTCAACAGAGCCTGCTATTCATAAGAGCAGCAAAATGCAGGGGTTGCATATTGCCAAATAATGGTCATAAGACATCACAGAGAGAAGGTGGCATTCTGTGCCAGCCAAGTCATCTGGTAAGTCAGGTCAGAGTTGTTTCCATGGTAGCCTCACTTCATAGCTCCCTTCTTCATACTTCAATGAAGCTGCAAATGCTTGTGACATCTCTTCCCCACGTCTTACTTTCCACGGTGTTTCTCCCATTATGACAATAGCTTCTAATTCCCAGAAGGCACTCCATTGTTCTGATATGAGGAATTCTTCATCAGTTATACTTGGAAGAATTCCAACTTTAGTACCACTGCATGTTAATTAGAAATGATGCAGTTCACCACTCAAACGCTCTCCATGGCCTGACACCACATTAAGAAACAAGTTCCTCCAATCAGAATGTTTAATTATTTTTGGCTTTCTGTGGGCATAGTGATCCCAGGCAGCTGGAGACCTTCAGTTTTCTATTCCTGATGCATATCATCTCCTGTGATCTTGGTCATGGCATTGCACACTCTTGGTGCTTCTGGCACCTCCAGTCTCCTTTTTCTTCACAGAGATCATGGAGTATGATCTTGAAACTTTTTCTGTTTTGAAGATAGTGAAGTCTTTGTTGCAGAGGTATGAATGAGCAACGCCTCCTCTCCAAACACAGAGCATTTGACCACCTTCATCTAGCACCAATACAGCCCTGCTTTCAACCTTGCTGCCCCTTTTGCTAAAGCTCTCACTGTTTGCAATGGTACTATGCTCTGTAGCTTTGGGCCTGTCTCATGCAGGGCTATGGAAGGCAGGATGATGGGCTTCTCCTCTGTACTTTTTCAGAATAGATTTCTGATTTGGGCCTTGACAACAAATTGATTTGTGGTGATGATTTCTACAGCCGGAATGGTCTACTCCTTTTCCTTTGGGGATTCTGGTGATACTGTATGTCTTAACCCTGGACATAAGGAACATCTGCCTTGCTTCTTCAGCTTTTTCTTTCTTTCTGAAGGAGTCAGTATACAGCAATCTTCTGCTTAGTGAGTAAAATCTTTTTAGTATGTACAGGTTAGCTCTGGCCCCACAGGATTCAGTCCTGCTGCTTATGGGGTAAGAGCTAAATCTTTTCTTGCTCTGAATATTGTTGTTTCTGTTTTAGCTTGCATTTCAGTAAGCTGTCACCATCTATGGCTTTAATTCCAGTTTTCATCAGAACTGAATTTTGTTCTCAGCTTTTAACTTCTGATTGGGGAATCTAAGGAGCTTTGGTACCATCTATTCAACAGTGGCATCCTTAAACTGGATGAATTCTAATGCTACATCTTCAGGGGCCATCTGCATCAATGGTGGGGACAAAAGACTGTCATATGTATCTGACACAGCTCCAGTAGCTGTCAGCACTGGGATGTGAGCAGCAGGTGGTTATGGCAGAAACCCTGAGACCAGGCTGGTGCAGCAGGATGGACTGGATAGGCCTGCACACATCCCAATTTAGTGGCTTCTGCTCTTACCAGTGCTGATACAGCATGCATTTATCTCCTTGGGGCATGGCACTGGGAGCTTCTTCCCCACTTGCCCCTGCTGGCAGTTGTGGTGGGCTACCCATTCAGGAGCTCATGCATGTACTGGCTTCTTGAGTGTGTACTAAGATCCTGATTTCTTTTGATTGAGTCCAGATGGCAAAGTAGATGTCACATTCCTCTGCAAGTAAGTGAAGGTGAAGAGGCTGGTCTAAAGTAGAAAGGATCAATGTTCACTTCTGTAATTTGGGAGTTCTTCGATTCCAAGTGGTAATATTAGATCATGCAGAGAACCCTCCAATTCAGCTCCTCTAAAATCAGGAGAGAAGCAGCTAGACCCTAAAAGAGTGCCTTTCCTAGGGCCTTCATGTCATAACTAGTGAAGAGTGGTTCATTTTGCTTCCCACCTTTTGGGCTTCCACCTGTGTTCAGACATCTGCACCAGTAGTGGTTGTGTGTGGAGCCCACTGTAGTTCTGGCCAGGCATCATGCATCCATGAAGTTGGTTTGTGTTATGATCTCCTGGTTCCCTAATTCCTCAGTTCCATTTGGCTCCTTATAGCTCAGGTGCATTGTTGGTGACTCCCAAAGCATAAACAATCACATGTGCCTGTGCACACATACATACATGCACACACATGCACACTTGCATGTGCACACACCCACGCACACACACTCACAGAGAGAGACAAACAATGGTAGCAGATATGTTTTAGATATAAATCAATAAATAAGAGGGAGGTTTTTTTGAAGACTTTATTCATTCTCAGTGGTAAGCCATCATGAGAGATTGTTGTTAAGGAAGAAAGAAATTCTTCTTTCTTGTGAGTCAGGAAATTGACATGTAACAAGCAAGCAAGCAAGTAAAGAAGGGCGCTTGAGCATATTTGAACTTTATCTCCAGCATTCTTCCACCTCTGAAAGACAGGAAATAAAAATAACCATTATCATTTGCATGGCTAAATATGGAGGTGGGTCAAATTGCAAACTGTTTAGAAGATGGCACCTTCACTATAAGATAGGATTTATGCAGTGTCATCACACTTAAGTACATTTTAAATAAATAGAAGTTCCCACTTGATACCATGCAGCTCTTGTTTCAGGGTGCAGTGTGAGAAATTCTGAAGGGTAGCAGGAATCTGAGCAGATTCCAACAAATTTCAGAGGGATTTCCAAGGAGAGGCTGCAGTGATAGTGTACTTTCTTTCTATTTTGTTTTTGGCCACCAGCTCCAGTGAGTAGCCAGTAACAGGCAGATAGATGCAGACAGAGCTCTTCTGCCAGTTTTACTTGCAGAGGGTGGGAAACCTCCACATTTCCCATTGGCAACCATTAACCTGTGTATTCTGCCCCTCAATTTCTGAAATGTCCTCCAGGCAAATTTAGCTTATGAATTTAGAGGGAAATGGAGAGTGGGAGTCACTCAGTCACAAATAATGCACTGGAAAATGGAGAACATGAGCTACAAGAAGCTTGGACTGTTAGTTCCACTAGAAAAATCATACAAGAAACTTCTGTTCTACTGGATTGTACTTTCACTGGAAACAATGGGGTTACTGCTGCATATATACAAAAAGGTCCAGCAAACTCTTGAAATTAGAGAGAGAGAGAAAAAAACCCCCAGTAATCTCATTTTATTATTTTCCAGGGGCATCTGTGGATTGTATGGGAAAGACAAGCAATGGAGATGTCCCTTTAAACAGACATTTAAAAAGAAAAAAGTGAGAATTCATATCAGCAATCTATGAAGGTCTTTCTGTCATACAGGAGTCCAAGTGGACTGAGAAAGATTGCATGACTACAGCTCAGATATCCCTGACTTACAAATTGGTATGTCTGATATGAAAACAAACTAGCCATCAGGAATGCTAGGAGCTTTTGAAAAAGGGAACCCAAAGAAGGTGTAAGAACCCCAATAAATCCCCCATCTTTTCCACACAGGCAAGAGCACAGGCTGTGGAAGGGAGAGGCTGGGTTTGCAGCCTGGTGCTGGGCTCAGAGTCCACCTCCGTGGGTGATGGTGCTGACTGCAGAATGCACAGGCCCTGTGGTTTGCAGTGCATGAGTTCCTTCCTTGCAGTGGGTCAATCATGGGGGCTGCAGCTGACACCCCTCCTGGCTGAGACAACAAGCCTTTAGTGCAGAGCATCTCCTCCCCTCTCCCACGGCTCACCTGAGATATTTAGAGCACTCCAAGATCTGCACGAAGCTTTACGATTAGTTTCGGAAACTGAAAGAGAAGATCAGCACTTTGAAACATTAATAGGAAGGACTTCAGATCTCCATGCTTGTTCTAGCCCCCAAAATTTAAATTGCTCAGCACCCCAGTCCAAGCTTCTTTCTATTTTTTGCAGGAAAATGACTAGCTGAATTCTGCTCCACTACAGCAGAGCATCCGCATGCAAAAGAATAGCTGTCTGAGCTGTTTAATATGGGATTGGGGTACACAGAGTGGGACAAGATTTGCTGTGATAGCAGCAAGGTGTGGTGTTAAAGGAAATTTTTCAGCTCCATTGTATTTCTGCTGTCTTCCAATATATCCATTTCAGAAGGCAGTCACTAATGCTCCAAAGCTCCCAGGGATTCATTGTATTTGTGGCTTATTGGCACTGTGCCTTCCAGGTTACTTTGTCTGTTGGAGATGTTCACCTCCCTTCCCCTATGTGAAGACAGACATAGACCATTCCTGCAGATGAGGCAGCCTCACTTGTCTGTGAGTGAATGGTCCTTTTTCCAGTTGTATGATCTGTGCTCAATTTCTTTGCATTCAGAGCAATGCTATGCACATTTATTTTTGAGTCCCACTTTAGCTCAGTGGGGTTACTCGCTGGAAGGAGTGTGCCTAGGACTGCAGTCTCCCTGTTATTTCAACAATGATGGAATCATCAAAAACTGGAATGACACATGGAGACATTCAATAAAGTAGTCCCCATTCATTCACTATGTTCAAAATTATGAGCTATTCTAGAGTTGATTCTAGCATATATTCTTACACCAATCCACTCACATCCATGCACACACAAAGCCCTAGCCAAAGCCCCAGCCAAGTTCTCCCCAGGCTTGTAGCTAAAATCTTAATGAAACAGGTATGAACTTTGATGAGACTCTTCCAGCTGTGCATCATAGATCATCAGGCATCTTTTGTTCCATCAGTTGTCCATTGATAGAATCTATTTTAATAATAATTTCTTGCAAATAGCATCTATGTTAACATGCTCTTGCAAAAACGTGCCATAGCACCAATCCTCCCAGCTGTGTGCATGTGTGGGGGGGCTATACTAGTCTGCAGAATCTTCCTGACCATGTAAAGCAAGCCCACTGCCACATCTGCCAGTCTGATCAATAGAACTATGAGCTTCTTTACATTTGTTGTGGTTTTCTCCAATATCTTTAGCTCAAGCACGTGGCCAAGTAAGGGAAATATTACCACAATGGTGGTTTCTTTCAGAAGCATACCTCAGTGTCAAAACAAACTTTGTGGTTCTCTGCCTCACAGCAGTTTGTCACCAGGCCCTGGAAGTCTACGATCGCACTCACAAGCTGTTCCTCTGTGATGTCAGGCTTAGTCTTAATCATGTTGATGAGCAAGCTGCAATGAGAAGAGCAATTCTTTGTAACACAGATGTGTCTCTAATTTCATCATAGCAAAGGACATCTACTTCCTGCTGGAAGTGTGCCCAAGGGAAGCAGAGAAAGGAGGAAATTTGAGCTCACAGAAGCAAGAGAGTAGTTCAGGCAAAGGAATTCGGACTGTGGTGGATCAGGATGACACGTTTCAGATGTGAGGGTCTTGAAAAGAGTCCTAAATGTCCTTTCCCCCATGAAAATAGTTCCTAATTTCTGTGCAGCTAGGAGAAGGGTAGATCCAAAGATGCTGCCCTGGAATCTCTGAGTGGGAGAGGGCCCAACTGGATATAGTGAGGATCATGGTGGTGTCAGCCTCAGTATGACTAGAGAGCTTGCAAGAGCTCTCTATCCTCACCGGATACCTCCAGCTTCTTCTACCCTGTATACCACATCCGTATGAAGATGTACAGAGAAAGGTCAAAAGCAAACCTGGCCTTTTTTCTGTACATCAGAACTGTGGCCTTAGGCCAGTAGTCTGTGTTGCACTGTACTGAGATGTGTTATCCTTATGCAGAGGCAGTGTAGAGGCTGGTGTCTCCCACATCAGTGCCTGAGCTGTATAGGAGCTCTCCATGGTGCTGAACTCCATCCCCACAATAGGATTGCCAAACTGGGGCACTATTAGAAGGTCAGAATCTGTAAATGCTTTAGCAATGTGGAAAGGAGCAAGGCTGAAGCCAATGTACTGATTAAACTGAATCAACCAGACCAGTCCTGGACTGCTGGCCTCTGTTTTCTTACGTTTGCTTTTTTCTTTGTGCTTCTTCTGGAGCATCTGTGCATATGCCTTCATCTAAGTGGAACAGATCAGCATTGAAGGCAGGAGCATGGTATTCTGGATCTACTCCCAAGCCACCAAAGCATTCCCGGAGATCATCATAGTGGCCACTGCAGCACTTGCAGACTTGTTTGTTTATGTTGTGGTCATCGTGCCGCGCACATATACTTCCTAGCACTAAGCCCGTCTAGAAAGAGAGGGAGAAAGTGTTGACATTTGGACTGAGAAAATCATACTTCCATATTTAGGTTACATAAGAACTGCTTTTCAGTTTGGACAATACCTAAACAAGCCCAGTGCACAATCCTGGAATGCTTGCACTGTACTGATCTTGCAGTGCCCTTTGCAAAAGGAATACCTTTTCTTCTACAAATATTCCCTCTGAAATGTGAAAATATGGATTCAGCTATCCAATTTTCCCTATTGGAAATGTGCTTCCCAATTCCTGGGAAAAGGCAGGATCTAAATACATATAAAAATACTTTTGTTTAAAGTGGACATCTTTGCCAGGGTCAAACATCTTTGGTTCTTGCATCCCTTATACTTGTCACATACATCATGGGAACCAGTGCAGTTTGGTGGCTAGAGAGTTGATCTGACGGTCTGGGAGACTTGGATTCTAGTCCCAACTCAGTCATGAAGCTTACTTGGTGACTTTGTGCCAGTCAAACCCTCTCAGCCTAACTCACCGCACCCTACTCTCCTCATTGGGGTGTCTCATCTCAGGGCATGTTACCTTAGACTTCATTGGCATACATTGCATCTTGATTTCTCGTGGGCAAGTTTGTATATTACGGCAAACCACCCTTTGAGTAAGCCACTGTGGGATGGTGATTCAATGAAGAAACCAAGGTATGGCTGGCAGATGGTCATGCCACTGAGGACTTGGCCTCTCCTCCTTCCCCTCACTCCTGCTAGTTCTTGAGTGTTCTTGTGGCAGAACCCAACTTGACTGCTGACCTTGGGCCCTCCCAGCTACAACTGCTATCCCTTTCTTATTGTTATGTTGGTTTTCTGCAGTATGCAATTATCTTTGCACATGCACGTGCATTCCCTGTTCTTTTACAAGCACATAGGGCTGCATTTCCCCTTGTCTGTACCTGTAGTTTTCCTTGGACAAACTTGTAAAGTTCAGCTGTCAGCTGAAGTAGCGTAGGTAATGTATAAAGGAATACGTGAGTCAAGGCTGCATGTAGGTTAAATTGTCCACAGTTGTGAAGGACCCGGGGAGCACAAATAGAAAGAGGAAAGGGGGACCCAAAAAATGCAATTCAAACACTGGAAATGGGGAGTGGGGGGGGGAGGCAAATGCAGTAAATGCACCAAATCTGGGGCAGACAGTGAGCAGGTGCACACAACATGACAAGCCACTGTGATTTGTTGAGCAAGATGATATGTCTCCCATGTTGTCCAAACCCTGCTGTGCTATTTTGACATGGTACGCTTAATTTTTAGAAACCACAGTAATAAACAATGGGACGTTCTAGGTTTCCCACACTTCGCTCTGGTTTCCCTGATTGTCTGAACCTGGTACTGTGGATCATTCTTCACAATCATCCCACAGTGCAGGGCATGGAATAATACGCTTAAGTAACAGGAGTCCAGATTCTGTCGAGATATCAGGAAATATTTCCTGAGTGTTTGAGCAGCAGGAGAATGGCACCCAGAACCTAGGGAGTAGACTGTCCCACACTAGAAGCGTACAAGATGCACTGAGCAGGGGCTTGGATACCATGGCCCTCTGCCCCCCCACCACCTCTGCTTTTCTTTAATTCTACTATTCTTTAAAAAAAAGCTGTTAAGAATATTTGTGGATATTTAATGGCTGGGAAGTAAGTGGGGGGAACAGAGAAGTACATAGAAGGGAAATTTGCTGACCTGCAGTGACTTCTCTGAAAATGCTATGAGAAGTTTTCGTAACCAATATAACAGTAAAACAACAATAACAAATATAAAGTCATTTTCATACTCCTGAAGCACTGACAAAGTATTAAAAATAAGATGGCAAAGAAGTTAATGTGGAAAGGTGACCCGGCTGAAATGTTTTAAAAAATACTCCAAAAAAACCAGGGCAGGGTGTTCTTTTGCCACTTTTGCCCTTCTGTTGTATAGCCAGCCCTGGCAACTCATGATAAGATCACTTTCCCAGGTTTGGATGGCATGACAAGATGCCAGGGGCATGAAAAAATCAGCAAGCCATGGGTTCACAGGGTTTGCAGGGAATGATGACCACAATGTCTGGCTACCCATCATGGGCTGTCATGTCCAGCTAACCTAGTAAATGTTTAAAACATTAATCATTTTAAAGCCTTAACCAGAGAAGGATCGCAGTGGGCTGGATCCAGGTTAATGAATGGGAATATGACTTCCATATTATTCTCTATGACTGTAAAAGTCTTCAGAGGTGGCTTTGATCCATCTCCAACCAATGTCTGAAGTTAAGTTAGTAAGGGTCTTCTTTATGGTGGCGTCTAGGCTTCAGAACTCCTTCCCTATGGGTAGCCTGTAGTATGCCTACCCATTTCACCCTGAAACATCTTGTAAAGGTCATCTGCTTATCTACAGACTGCTTATGGTAATTGATTTCCCCTGCATTAGTTTCTGATGCCTGACTTAGGATTTCAAGATATTTATACTCATGTGGCCATCACTTATTAATGTCTGACCTGGGCTACATATTTTTAATTATGATTTGGCTATTTTTGGTGATTTTCAGAGGAGTGAAGTTTGTGACCTTCAGAAGTCTAAAGCTGAGATGCCAGATGAAATTCTTAAAATAACATATGGATACAGAAGGAAGTGTTTAGGGCAACAGAACCAAGAGAAGGAGATATGTGGAGTTATCTCCCATTTCTATGGGGTGGGATCCTCACGTGGAATTCCTGACTGACAGCACTGAACAAATGAGAACATTTACCTTTTAACATTACTCTGCCCTTGCATTGAACGGTTTACTGTGCTTTGCCATCATTTCATTTTGTCAACCACTGTGGACTTTTTTCAATGCAGAGCAGTATATACATTGTAAACAAACAAACAAATAAATTATGAAGAAGAAAATACTCACGTTTTCCTCTGCACATTTCAGTTTGTGACCTTCATCCAGGTTGCAGCATCTGTTAGCAACACCAACAAAGCCCTTTGTGTACTTCAGCAGTTCCTCACCTTCTAGCTGGGGTGCTTTCTTGGTGTAAGATGTAAGGAGCCTGCAAAAACAGTGCACCTACTCAGAGAGGAGATGGCAGGGGCTCATCTTTCCACTTGGGTTTCAATCCTGTTTTGGGGACTAAGACTGCCTTGTTCACCCTGTGGGATGACAATTGTTGGGATAGAGACAGGGGGAGTACACTGCGCTCCTACTTGGGTGAGGGTAGTCTTGCCATGGTCATTCATGCACTGACCCTCCAGACTGGACTACTGCAATGCACTATATGTGGGCTTCCCTTGAAGACAGTCTGGACTCTTCAAAGGATCCAGAACAGGGCAGCATGACTGTTGATGAGGACCAGTTCTTATGAACACATTATACCTGTCATCCATCAGCTGCACTGGCCCTCTCTTCCCATCTGAGCCAAATTGAAAGTTTCAACTATGGTATACAAAGCTCCAAACAGCTTGGGACCACCTTAGGGAGAGCCTTAGTCCATATATTTCTGCTCATTGTCTAAGATCTTTATCTGGGGTCCTCCTACACATTCCCATTCCCAAGGAGGTTCGGGGGAGGCTGCAAAGAGGTGGGTCTTTTCTGTGGTGGCACCCCAATTTTGAATCTGCTGCCAGAGATCTGCCAGGGGCCTACACTGTTTCAGGTCCCTGAAATTCAGGTCCCTGGCAAAATTCAGGTCCCTGGCAAAAGCTTCCCTTTTCTGGCACACCTTTGGCACCAGCTAAACTATTTCTATCAGTGCACAATTCTTAACTATATTAAAGTAAATTTTATTTTTATTTAATTATTGTATTGTGATTCTATTTTGTTTATTTATTAAGATATTTTAATTGTATTGTTTTATTGGTAAGTTGTGGATTTTATATGGTGATGGCCACCCAGAGTGCATGTTGCTAATGAACAGCTTTTAAAGAAATTTAATCACTCAGTCACTCAATCAGTGAACAGCTAGGTCTGAGCACAGAGAGCTTTGATGGGATTATAGCTGATACTGAATAAAGTTCTGAGCAGCTATCAGAATGGGGAAATAAGCTACTGCTTATTCTTGGACACAGCATCTTATGCACTCTGTGTGAAGAATCATGCTGATTTTTGTGGTGAAGCACATTGTTTCCTTTACAGGTATAATCATGTTTCAAAGCATTAAAGCTGGAGGACAAGTTCTCCACCCTACTAAGGACAGTGAATCTGTGTGGACCTTTCTACTGATTAAGCTTGTGTCAAGGAGCGAAATGTTCAAGCGGTTCTTTTGAAAAGAAACTCTCCCCTCCTGGGGGCAGTGGGGGAAACTATCTGAATGTAATTTTCAGAGGGATTTTTGACCACACCTATAATAATGATGTTTTGACTTTTAAAGATCATTCTGATGAATTAACATTACTGCCAGCATCTTTAGTTAAGAGGACTAAGCTCATTTGAAGATCAGCTTCCTATATGCAAGCTAGAATCTCATGGGAACAGCATACTCATTGTGGAAGAAGTAGTCTCCTAATTTCGAATGGGCATCACAGTTCTTCTTTACCACTTCTAGGGTTTCAGCAACATGCTTTTTGAGCATCTCTTCCTGAAAAATAAATGAATTATTGTTACATGTACGCACTGATAATAAGCACAGGTACAAGTCAGAAGGCAGACAGGTTTGGGAGGAAGCCAGAACAGGCCTTCTAAGGTTTTTTGTGGCATTCGTGTGCAATATGGCTTACTTTCTTGAAAGAGATGTTAATTATGGGTGAGGAAGCAGAGGACAGGTTAGCAGTGGATCATTTTCCACAGTGTCATGGACAAGTCAAGGATAAAAGAAAATAATGGAGAGAAGAAACATTGGGGCATGAGTCCTGTTACAATACACTTTAAATACAGAAAAATCAGTGGAAGCTGGAGAAGCAAATCTAATAGTTGGAATAAAATCATCCAGCCATGATTGTTTTCATCATCTGTCATCTCAGTTCAAACATGTCTGCAATTATCTGAGTCAATAGAAAACTTGCAAAATGAAATATTACAATGCATTTGCTTCATTAGCATTAAAGGGACAATTCTCTTGCCTCATTTTAGTCCTCACCTAAAAGATTGCCTTTTCCTTCTGAAATATACATTGCACAAATGTCTCAAAAGACAGATGTAACTGTTGGATTGAAGTTGTACTGTATTTTCTGAATTCTCAGAATATTTAAGTGGGCACAACTGGGGACAACATGAAAGAAAGAGTGGCAGTTCAATGACAAGCATGTGTGTTGTACACAGAGGAGTCTAGACTCACTTCCCAACATCTCCAGGCATTTTGGGGAAGACTCCATTTTTAAAACTTTGGGGTACTGCTGCTAGTCCAAGGAGGTGATGCAGAGCAGAGCAGAGCAGACTTATAAACAGAGCAGATGTAGTTTACTAAAGTTTACAACTTGGAAGATCATCGCAGATGGGGACTGTAGCCAAGAAATTAAAAGACGCTTGCTCCTGGAGAGGAAAGTTATGGCAATCTAGACAGCATACTAAAACGCAGAGACATCACCCTGCCAGCAAAAGTACTTATAGTCAAGGCTATGGTTTTCCCAGTTGAAATGTATGGCTGTGAAAGTGGGACCATAAGGAAGGCTGAATGTAGAGGAATTAAGGCCTTTGAGTTGTGGTGCTGGAGGAGACTCCTGCGAGTCCCTTGAACTGCAAGGTGATCAAACCAGTTAGTCCTAGAGGAGATCGACCCTAACTGCTCTTTAGAAGGCCAGATACGGAAGATGAAACTCAAATACTTTGACCACCTAATGAGAAGGAAGGCGTCACTGGAGAAGGGCCTAATGCTGGGAATAACTGAAGGCAAAAGAAGGGGATGGCAGAGAATAAAGTGGCTAGATGGAGTCACTGAAGCAGTTGGTGTGAGCTTAAGTGGACTCTGGGGGATGGTGGAGGACAGGAAGGCCTGGAGGAATGTTGTCCATAGGGTTGTGATGGGTCGGATGTGACTTTGCGACTAACAACAACAAAGTTTAGAACATTTGATTGCTTGATTGATAACAATGTTCATCCTGCTTCTCCACTATAACAGGAGTCCCAGAAGCAGTCTATCCATTAGTAAAATAGCAAATAGCTATTTCAAATAGCAGCAATTAAAATGAGCTATAAAATAAAAACCAGGGTCCTCTGAGCTCCAGCAGGGCCTGGGACTGAAGCTGCAAGTGCCGTGGTGCCAGTTGAGGCCAGTGGAGCTGCCCAGATCCCACCCACCTTTCCCCATGATGTGATGATGGAAAGAAATGTACCCCTTCAGGAAGGCATGTCTCAGGATGCTCCATTGCACAGCACCTAACCAGCAAGTCTTCATAACCGTCAGTAAGTCTCCCTAATAGCTGGATTGAAAACTCTGGGTGCCGTCTTGCATACTCATATGTAAAGCTGTAACACAGGAAAGGTTTTATTAAGAGACAAGAGCAAGAATAAAAATAACAACACTTGAAAGTCTTCAAGAAGGGTGAAATATATTATTTCCATAAGCCTTGGGACAACCCTGCAAGACAAAGTCTTATTCTTTGTGTATTGCAAAACCAGAGAGTAAGATGGAATGTTTTATTGTTAGCCATCTTGACTGCCATTCTATGGGGGGGGGGTGTTATTTCATACTTTTGATTTATTTATTTGTTTATTTATTTATTTCATCATTTTATCTGGAAACCAAAGCAAATGTATGGATTGGGTATTTTCCACCATCTCCTGAAGATAGCTAGAATTGAGGCAGTCAGGTCCATCCAACTTATTTTCCAGATAGGGCTCCCCATCCTGCTTCAGTGTCTCCCGAGCCCCACCATCTTTTACTCCCTCAGTGCAACCTGTTTCAGTCCTGTTTGTGATGACTTATTAAAGGAGAGTCTGAGCTGCAGTTGAATGCATACAGACTGAGCTTCCAAAGGGCCTGATCAAGAGCCTCATCAAGCTTTGGTCCCAGTCATTCAAAGTGATACAGCCCCTCCCTCTGCACATTTGACTGCTGCAACATACATCTGTTAAAAGAATAAGAAGGATCTGTTAACAGAAGATGAAATTTGTATTCTGTACCTATCCTGATGGTCTTGCTTATTCTCAGCATGTTTCTGGCATGCACTTTTGTCTAAGAACTCCGGGACTGTTGCAGACAAATCTGCAGGCTTCTCATCATTTTCTACATTGATAAGGCAATCCGCTCGATCCAGCCAGGGTTTTTCACAGCAGTCATGCACTTTAGTAGAATATTTTTCTTGGTGGTCACAGACATGGGCTATCATATCTCCCTGCAAGAAAAGAGAGTTATGAACAACTTCTTATCTGAAGGAAGTAGCTTTCCCACTGTAATCTGGGAGTACTGGATCCCCTCAGTTCATTAGGTGCTCCTCTATTAAATGACTAGCAATGGTGGCCAGGTTGCTTTACAAGGCCCCTTGAGCTAGACCATAATTCAACCCAAAATTCACCTCTTGCAAGTTCAGATGCAGAGAAGGGCCACTTGTGTTCTTGTTCATATTGCCAGATGTGGAATGTGGCCCAAGATGTTTTCACTCAGTGCCACATCCATTGTGTGTCCTAACTGAGAACTTGCACTAGAAAACCCAGTAATGGACGGAGGACTGTGGCTTCCTGTGGCTTTGTGGCTTTGTGTGCACAGCATTCCCAGAAGCAGAAACTTTTAAACATTCTCTATTTTTAATATTCCCACACCGAGCCCCTTCCCTTCTATGGACAGCTAAACCAACCCTCTTCTTCTGAAATTCATTTCCAAGCATCCTTGCTAGAAGAAATGCCTAGATAAAAAAGCTCTAGAGTCATGACAGGGTGGTTTTGAAATCCTGCCCCTTGAACATTATAGGCCACTGCAAGTTTCTATGAATGGATAGCCTCTTGCTGGAGTCCCCTGCCAGAATCCCTGGTTTGACACTCCTGGTGCTTCAGACCCAAGTTTCTTTTCCATGGTGTGAGTCATCCCCTTCTCATAGATTTGGGTCCTTCAGCCAAAGACACGTGGCCTGTAATAACTGTCTTAATCTCCTAACAACTATATCCATTTCAAATGTTAGTCCCGCTCCCCTGAAACACAGACATATGGCTAGGTAGGGTGTTCTTATCCATTCTTTTGTGGATGCATCACCAAATGATCTGACATATGCAGCTATATTTGTGTAGGCACACTGAAGACATATTGAAATTCATCTGTCTGTCATAAAATACAGAGCCTGCATTTCCAGCATTTAAGAGCATATTACGGTGGAGCCCAAAGGACTGATTAGGTCTTCAGCTGTGCATCTCAGCTGGGGTTATCAGCATACGAATTATCTTCTGTCATCAATTTTCAGTTGTCCCAAAATAACTTTTTTGGTTTCTTTCCTTGTTTAACTACTTTTTTCAAAGTTCCTTTCATTTCAAAAGGCAAGCAAAGTAGCATTCAAGGGAGAACCAAATCCACGGGCTTATTTTAGCAATGAACACTTTGTTAATGTAAATGAATTGAAATTAAACCATCTCACCCTAGCAAGCAAACACTCCACTTCATGGCCTTTGCAGCACTCTTCGTGAGCATGCACAATATCCTTAGCCAGTTCTTCAAGATCATGAGCTGTAGCCTTGGGGAACTTCTGGGCCAGATTGGCAAGTTTCCTGCAAAGAAAGGAAATGAAATATGAGAACTAACCCAAGACAGATTCCAGATATGAAATAGAATTCAGTCATAACAAGATCAGCAGTATAATCATAGTTAGGGCTTGACTAGTCACCCTACTTCTATTTATTTATTTTATTTTATTTATTTTATTTATTTAAAACATTTCTACCCCATCCTTTGCCCAAGCCTCAGTCGCTTCTAGTCACTTTCAGAGGTATTCCATCACACTCCTGTTCCATCCTAACTCTGCATCAGTATGTCAATACATTTGCTTGTTTTGTTGTTGTTTTAAACAGCGTTTTGTGTTCTAAAAGCTTTTTTCCCCATAATGTGGGTGAAATTTGGAATTTGAAGAGGAAAGTGGATGCCTTCCAAAAACATTGGGATTTTCAGTGCATTTGCTAGTGCTTTATATTGTGGATATGTATGAATCCGATTTTGTGATCCAGTTTGTGAAAACCTGTTTTTTTTCTGACTCAGTCCTGGTGGATTTCATTCTATTTTCCTCCACTAGCATTGATGTGATCTGTACACAGTTAATTCAGTATGTGGATTTGGTTTGGATGATAATGGCAGTGGTGGTGCAAATGGTTTAATGATGGCAGTTTGCATACATTAGATTTTTCTTTTCTTTTTTTTTTTTGAGAGGGGACTTAAAATTTTCAGAAATGGTGGTCATTCTAAAATGGAGATTTTGCATCTCTGTGCATGACTTCAAATATTGTCAGTGGTGTAGCCCCCCATTTATACAAACTGTGGAACCCAAACTAATGTGTTTATATTTTTGGGATTAGACAAAAAGCACCAATATGTCCTCTGTTATTTGCTGGAATGGAAAAGCTCAGGAATCCATCAGACTTAAATGAATAGGACTTCAAGTGGCTCCCATCCCCTTTAATAGCAATTCACTCAAAGAAGTGAAGGGAAAGGAACAGGAGCAGTCGCTGTTGCTGCTGTCCTCCCCCAACCCTTCTAAATTCCCAATAATGGGATGTTGACTCTCAGCCATTGGAGGGAATCCATGACTAACCACCATGTTTGGAACAGGGACATTCCAGATTATATGGCCAATGTAAAAGGACTTGATTACATTGTATGGATTGCCTTCATTACTTGAATGATTGCAAGAATAATAGGATTTATTCCCAGAAACTTTTCTGAGCTGCATTTACCCACTTTAATGACATTGTCCAAAAGGCACTGGATGACCCCACAAAGCAAGTATGGAATGGAGTTTTGCTGCTTTCTAACCCACAGTTCCATGGAGATCTCTCAATCCAAGTGTTCCTTAACTTGATAGTTAACACTGTGTTCTGGAGGTAATGGACAGGGATGTCTGTTTTAATGCCTGCCTGCCTGCCTGTCTGTCCATCCATCCAGACAGCTATTGAACTCCTGCATAAATTTCAGTTCGGTTTCCATGTTTTTGCCCATTCACAAGAATAGTTCTTACACTATCGTCAGTTTAACTATCCACCACTTCACCCCACAGACACAAAGCAAGTAGACTTACAAAGTATGCATCTCATCTTTTGAGTGCTTCAGGATGTGACAAGCCACTTGCTGAGCAGCAATATCTCGTTTCAGTAGAATTTTGTTCGCTGGTGCCTAATTGGAATTAATAAATCAGTCTGAGATAATGTTCAATTCATTATTTCAATACAAAGAGCAGTGTGAAAAGGTACAAAAAGAATTGTATCCTCATATTGCTGTGAAACATTTGTGGTAAGAAAGAGTCAGCATTAACACAGTACTTCCTTCACTAGGGGTCAAACATAGTCAAGTTAATTTAGATCATACCCATAGGCTTGTCCTGTAGTTTGCACACTGAAACATATCCCAGAACATATCTAAAGGAGCCTCTTCTCCCATGTGCACCTACGCAGACCCTTAGATCATCTCTAGAAGTTCTTCTCCATGGGCCACCCCTAAAGGAGGCAAAGAGGGTGGCTTCAAGGGGAAGGGACTTCTTGGCTGTGGCACCCTGTCTGTGGTATCTGCTCCCCAGGGAAATACATGTGGTGCCAACACTATATATGTTTTGGCACCAGGTTAAAACATTTTTATTCCCCCCTCTTTAATTCTTGATTATGCTTTTAAACTGTTTGGTACAGGTGGTACATTATGTCCTTATGCATTGTTTTGTTCTCAAATTTTTAATGTTATATGGTTGATCTATTATTTATTTATTTATTCAGTTTATAGGCTGCCCCACTCGCCATAGACTTTCTGAGTGTCTTGCATCATTAAAGTCCATTACAACATAAACAAGACAAAACACACACAATACTATACAATCAAAACCAATAACAAAAATATTTTAAAAACTATGAGAATTTGATATAACCAAGATAAACAAAGTAACATAATACTCTCTCTCTCTCTCTCTCTATATATATATATATATATGTGTGTGTGTGTGTGTGTGTGTGTGTGTATCCTCAAAAGTCAACAACCATTAAAATTAATCATAGCAAAATCTAGCATTAAAACAACTTGGCAGCAGCTCATTGACATAAAAATAAGATTAAAACAGCAATAAAAATCAAGAGGTGACCTAATCAAAATAACTGTGGAACAGATATGTCTTTAGTTGGCACCTAAAGGCTGATTGCACCTGATCTAAGAAACCTGGCTCATCATCTTCCATTCAGAAAGAAATATATTTTTTATCTTTGACATTTGCATTGCTGCAAACATGGGAATGGAACTCTCCAAATAAATATTAGGGGAGATAATACTGAAAGACATATTACGTTAGGAAGATTGGCTACAAATATTTCTGTAGTTTTAGGGACAGGTGCACAAAGAAATGCAAATTTTTGTGAAAATAAGGTACAGAATGTCTCATATTAGGAAAATATCTTGCAAAATTGTGGATGTAAGGTAAAATGGTGTTCAATATTGCAGGCACTACAGAAATGTATGCCAAAAACTTCATGGCCTTTCAAAGTTTGTATGATAAATGAAAAACAGATCAAAACCAAAACTGACAGAGTGCTCCATCCTTAGTGATCCCTTGTATAACCTCAACCAAGTTTTATTTCTGCATGCTTTTCTGAACACTGAAAAATAAGTGAGGGAGAGACATTCTGGGGAAAAAAAATCTGTGCTATTTCTTCAATGAACATGAATGGGATCTGTAGTGTATGGGAGGGAAAACATAGGGAACTAAATGTTGAGCAACTACACATATGCAAATTTTAGAGTTCTTTTTAGAAATTTTCCTAGCCAAAGTAGAATTCCAGAGAAAGCTACAAGGTGCAAGGTCAATATCTTGGACTGGACTAATATGAGAATGGAATGTTGGGGATCTGTCCTTCCTACTGGCCATGCACTAGTTCTTCTAGAGAACTCTGTTATCCAGGACAGAATGTGTTCATAACAAGTAATGTGCTATAAGCTAGTACTAACATAATCTTGCTCTATTTATATCAGGCCTGAAAATGGCAAGAGCCACTTGTTCACCTGGATCCCTGCCATGAGTGACCATACAGGAAAAGGAAAGAAAATACAGTAGGATCTAGAGAAGGATTTGAAACTTTGGATTCAAAGAAGGTTGGCTCAGAGGTCAGGGGATTTGCATGGAGGCCAATCCTTTGGTCAGAAACTGAAGCTTTAATTTAATAAGGCTGTGAACCTTTACATGCTTTCCAGGAAGTAAGTTCCATTTTACTTACTTCATATTAGGCATGCAATGGTTCATGCTGTAATCAAAGCAATTAATTTATTAATGTAACAAACTAATCCAACCTGAACAGTTGCAAAAATCAACATCTATGGCTCTCAAAGGAGCACAGATTGCAGTATCTTGATTTCTGTCCTGATAAATATATCCCATAGAAGGACACTAGATCAGTGGCACAGCACATGCTTTATATACCAAAGGCAGGTTCAGCTCCTGGTTTTGAGTAGTCAGGATGGCTGTCTGATGAGGCAATGCACAGAAATGTCCTGTCTATGCAGCCTTAGTTATGCTGGTCCTATCCCTGATGGATGCCTATGGCAGGTAGGGCTGCTATGATTAAGAGGGAAGGAATAGCAGGTTAACTACTTGCTTAACTATAATTAGCACTGCCTTGACATTCTTCCCAATGGCCACCATGGGAAAGCAAGCAGCCGGCAGTAACAACAGCAACATCACTGCCAATGATGAGAGAGGCCCAGGGCCCTTTCCTTGGGCTGGTGCTCGGCCTAGTAGAAGGCATTCAAACATAGCACAGGGAGGGTAAGACCAGTGGCTAATATCCTTGCAGAGCTGCTGCCAAGTAGACAACATCTGGCTAGATCTATCCCTGTTTTGAGATGACATAGAGTAGTTTCCTGGGAATCAAGCTGAGCTGAATTTTTCAAGCTTCACCCACTCAAAATATCATAGCCTGATTTGGGGGATGTTGAAATACCTTTTCGTGGATGCAGGCATCCTTGTCCTCAGCCTTGCAGCATTCTTCCAAAGCATGCTCGTGCCTATCAGCTGCAGCATGGATTGCGGCAACGTTTGCAGAAGGATTCCTTCTGGCAACCTCATACTCAAAGCTATGTGTAAAGAAATAATTAATCTGTGCTGCACTTTTGCAAAGCAAAGGATCTAGTCTTTATAAAGAAAGCTGACATCAACAGGAAGAGAATAAGCAGTCATTTCACCAAATTAACTGAACGTGAATACAAGGGGAAGTGATTCAAGTTCTGCCGAAGAGACCAAGGCTGTGCACAGCTGCCCCATTGAAATCCCAGTCACTTCAGTAAGGAGATTCGACATATCTGAATTGGGATCAGTTGGCAGCACTCCATGCAAACCTGAATGAGCATTGTGTCCAGATTGTTGTGTATCCGAATCAGGGCCAGTGAGAAGTAAGCAGTGGTACTTTGTGCCTGGGAAGACCCCAAGGGTTGCAGGTGGGAAAACTTTCATACATAAAAGTGCCTCCTTACTTATACATACAAGGAATCACAACGAAACCTGAGTATGCTCGGCACTCTCATTCCACTGGCGTATCACTTGGAACAGAAAATGGAAAATGAGTGAGGATGAAATAGTGTATCATGGTAAAGGGCATACTTAGCTTGGTTCCACATGGAATGGTAGGAGATAATACACTGCAGATATGTGGGTAAAATATGTGGGTAAAAAAAGGCAGCAGCAGCCTTGGTCAAAAGTGAGGATATGCCCCAAATTATAATCTGCGGCAGGACCTCAGAGCATAGAAGTGTATTCCTGTATTTGATATATGGCAGCTGACATGATGTAGCCATCAGGATTCACGGTTCAGTGACTGACAATATTCAAGAGAAACAGAAACATAATTCTTCAAAAAAATAGAAAGAAGGGCAGCACTGAATCGATATACTCACTGGTGCTTTTCTTCTACCTTGTTGTCATGATACTGTTTGCAGGCTTCCTCTGCAGGTGGATGTTGGTAGACTGGAATAACTGCTTCATTTTTAAGGGCGTGAAAACATTCTTCTTCCTCTGCACCCTCTTTAGCACAGCATGCAGTGTATCCATATTTCTCAATCAGAGCGTTATCGTGACACATTAAATGACCGAATATGAGAGACTGGTGGACAGAATTAAAATATTGCTTTATTAGAAATAGGCTCACTGTTTTACTTATTCTCGTTAGGCAAACTACTGCATAGCATTTGTTTTGGAAATCTCTTAACCCCACTAAATTAGATATTGATACAGGTTGGTATGCCAGAGCCCTAACAAAAACTGCTTTCATTTTATGCCCTTTTCATTTCCTGTTTCAGTTATGGATTCTTGTTTACTTTGATAATAACAATAATTTTAATTTTATCAGCAATGCTCACATACTTTATATAGCCGCAGCAAGATCTGTATTCAGTGGATTTTTATTCTGTCCTTGGAGAGAGTCTATGATATCAGACCAATTTGGGGCATTTATCTGAGATCACAGGATGTTTGAAATGTAGCCAAAAATATGTGAAAGGGTGTACTTTTCCCAAAAGATATGGTGCCAAGAGACACTGTGGTTGATCCATGTTCTCTACAATGCATTTTTTGAGCAAGTGCTGAACGAACCTGGGAATAGGGCACAGATGCTACAGGATATCTCTTACTCCTGGAAAGGGTTCCCCATGGCCATACTGTTATGTCTATGAAGTTGATGCTGAGAGAGAAGCTGCAGCAGGGTAGAAGCTGCCCTTAAATCTTGGTTGGCACCTAGCTGGGACAAGATCTTTTATTAATCTGGAAGATCTAGCTTAGTTTTCTAGATGCTTGGAACTTTGTTTTCCTTTGAGGATGTCACTGAATCACCTTGTTCAGTAGAAAAGTGCAGGTGGTGTATTCATCTTGTTCCTGTCTTATTTACAGGTACAAGTAATTTACAAGTAATCTTTCTTACACAGCTAAAAGTTCAACCTGCTGCTCCCACACATTTTTATCCTGTTGCAACCTGAGGATGTCAGCCCTGTGGGGGGTAGATTAATTGCCCATTTAAAGAGTCAAGAAGGCTAACTTGCAGACTCTTCTTAAAACGCCATGGGAGAAACCAAGCTGGGGTGGACAAAGAACTGATTTTGGTGGAATGAGCCTCGTGACTGCACTGGGGAGACCATTCTGGAGGTTGCCAACCCACAACTTAGAATGCAGAATGGTATGTTCTCTCCCTCCCTCTTCCCCCCTCCCTCCTGACAGTTGAAGTTCATGTATTCACCAGATTAAATAACTGTCATGAACCAATAAATATGCCAGTCCCTGCAATAAGAGCACAACTAATTTTGTTTCCCAAGAATGGGATGGGATGTGTGGCAGAGCTTTTTAATCTGTATCAATAAATGCAATCCACTTATGATTGTGTGCATAAATATAGTGGCAATGAGACACTCCTAAAATACACTCTTTTCTTGGAATTTTGTCTTGAATATAGTTGGCAGTGGGGGGGAGGGCAGGGATAACCCTCCAAAATCTTCCATGTGCAAGGGTTGAGTAAATGAAACCTGAAATGTTACTCCAGGTGCGTAGTAGGTGGCAAAACCTGGTAAAAATTTTGGAGACTCACCAAAAGCACAAAATGAATCTATGACTGACTGATGGAGTCTAGTGTATCAGTATTTGTATGGATGTTCTCCAGATTTAGGTTCTGGAGGCTTACCAGAGATTCTGAACATTGATTGTCTGAACTTTCATCAGCAGTACATTTCTTTGCAAGCTCGACACCTTTTTCTGCCAGTTCCTTTACTTCTTCATATGTGGCTTTCCGCAGCTCCTGGGCATTCAGGATTAAGAGACTGGGGGAAAAAGGGCAGAAGTGATCATGAAAGCCATGGATTTCATTTCTCATCTGACTTCTTAATTGGGTTCATTTTGTAAGCACATTGTACATGCTTATAAGCTCTTATGCAGAATGTTGCTGGCAGTGTATGATGCAAAACTAACTTGGCATGGCTGCTGACACTCTTCTGACCCTCACTTTAGCCCTTCATTTCATGAGGGCAAACACCTGAGAGGGTTTCTAGAATGTACAAACACCCAGGGCAAACACGTTCTGGTGACCAAGATGTAGCTAGGAAACATCTTTATTAGGGATACACATACCGTAACCCTTATACTTTTGGAAGAAAGTGTGCTGGGCAGGAAATGGTTCTAAGTTTGACTTTCAAAATGTAAGATGGGTTAAGTCACAGCTTCTGTGTGGTACAGAAATCAAAATGAATAAATAAATCCTGTGTATAACAGAGAAGGGAAATGCCTGTCTGAAGAGGATGCCTGCCCAATGCAGTTCTTATAAGACATTGTGATAAATAATAATCACTATTTAAAAAATCAGTGCCTGATTAGTAGAAGTATAATATTTGATCAAAAGGGATTAATCAAATAATCTGACCAATTAATCAATTAAAATCAAGTCAAGAAATTAGCACTGTACCAACATTCATAGAATGTTGTTATTGTCAGCCCAAATTTTTCTGGCAGTATTAGTTCGCAAGTCAATTCAAATTTAACTTTTTGCCAGGCCCTGTCACACAATCATCAATTAACCTTACTTGTTTTTTTCTGCTACTATTAGTTCACAATCTCAGTATCTAATACCTTTCACTATTTTTGGAAGAGGCACTACAGGTTATTTTGAGCAAAACTTTCTGAAAGGACTTACGCATCAAAGAAATCTTCACCTGTCAGTGCATAGGCCTGTTTGATGGTTTTAATTTCTGTAATGAAGACAGAGTTCAATGCTTCAATCAACAGATTTCATAGCATCAATATGAAATCACTACAGCTTTAGTGATTTCAAAGAGAGAGTGTGGGTGCAGAAGAAAGAATACCCCATGACCACTGCCTTTGGCAACAACAGGTTAAAATCAGAGCTGCAGGCTGATAGATTCTTGAAGTTCTCCACTCTATCCATGCACATATACAAGGGGGAAGAGACAAGTACTCTGACCTTGCAGGCAGGGCCCCTCCTGGCAAGAGGTCTAGCATACTTTCTTTCTCTTTCGCCTTTTTATTTTATCATTGTGGTTTGCAGTGAATGAAAGTTGACTACAGCATCAACTGTGTGGGCAGCCTGCCCCTTTGTCCCATTTTGCATCCTTCACAATACCCCATATTTAATATTATATCAGGGATTTATGGGGTGTGGAGGGAATGCAGCCTTCTTGAAAAACAATAGTGACAAAAACCAGGAGAAAATTCTGCAAAGTGGTTGTTTTATTTCTGGTGGAGGGGCAAGAAAATAAATGCATCAGGGCTTCTCTGAGAAAATGTGTCTTCTGAGAATTTTTAGCTGAGCTTCTGGGTGTATTACCTATCACAGTGGTTTCAGATGTGAGCTTTCTGACTGGTCTTTTGGATATATCTTCTCTCTAATAAAAGTTCTGAAAGTGTTGTGTCCAGCTCCAAAAAATCTGATACTAGTGCCTTGCTATAATCTGACCTCTAATTTTCTGTATGTTGTCTTCCCCTGTGAATAATTCTTCTATTCTTCTGCCTCCTTCTTAGGGCATTTTATACTTTATTTTGAATCTATCTTGTTGGTTGTTGCTTAGTAAGAGGGGGCCAAAGGTACTGTGTGGATTTTTTGTTTTGCATATGTCTTCATTGCTTTTCAGTCTCTCAGGCTGCCTGCAATTCCTAATCAGAAAAGGCCCCATTCACTGGATAGGAAGTATGGGAAGCCAAGGATGCTGCAGACTACTAGAGAACTGTTTTGTCTGTGCGATGAATAAGATAAGCACAAGAAACCTGAGCCAAATGCATGAGGATTTCTCAAAGTTACTTCCCTGGCTTTATTTTTGCAAACATTTTTTTTTCCTTTCAGATTGAATGGGAATGTTGAATAATATGTTCAATTCTGAAAAGGTATAGTTTAAATTAAATCAGCACCACTGTTGTCTTATGAATGTGTTCCCCAACCTGATGCTGAATAATGAAAATTGTTGTGTACCTAAAGGGAGAACAGAGGAAGAAATAATGTAAAGCTAAAACGTGTAGACATGGACTGTACTGACTGTAAAATGATTCTGTTCATAATGACCAGAGTAAATTAGATGTGTTCAGTGAACCGTCTAATGACCTTTAAGGTCCTATTAACCAGGGTAAGCAGTTCTACAAACCCTTAAGGTCCTATTAACTAGGTAAGCAGCTCTGTTTTAACTGACTGGCCAGGTACTCACTGGTTCCTAATGCACATGGTGATGTTTCACTTACTTCACTGACTAAAAGGTGGCGCATAGAAACAAACCCATTCTGTCCATTGTTGAACAAAGCTCTTCCTTCCACTGAACACAATAAGGAGGTCCTTTCTGCAAAGGTTGCTCTGTGGACTTTGATGCCCAAAGGAAATCACATGGATAGTGTTCCTTCTAATAGCAAATCAGAACCATACATGGTGGTGGGGAGGCTGTAAAACAAGTAGAGTCTCTGCTTTTGCCTTGACTCAGGACACTGATAGAGGGTCAGGAAGGTCAGCCAGGAGTAAATGCAGCTTTTGTAGGTTCCTCACCACTGCTCTGGCTGAGTCATCTTGTACTGAAGCCAAGATTGCAGTATGCATATTTACTCCTCCCTTGCTTTCTCCTGTCTAGTAACACATATCTGCATCATAATGACACAATGTTGTCCCTGAGAGGAGGAGTCATTAACAGGGAAAGCTAGAATGCAGTGATCACATGGGCATGCATGCTAGACATTCCAAAAGAGTGCACAAGGCACATAGGCAGCATTTTGGATGTCGATCATGTCGTCTGATTCCCTAGAAAGGCATGAGCTTTCTGATGCAAATCCCACTGTAGCAAACCAGCCTTGTGCAGAAAAGTTTTCCAATGGACTGAAGCCCTTGTTTTTGTTCCAAATCTGACTAGTTCATACTAGCCATCTGAGAACAATGGTTTGAAAAGCTCAGACTTCATAGAAGGAAAAAGAGGAAGAAGAAGCAAGATTCTTACCTACATCCCGAGCTCTTCTGGGCAATCCCCTTGATTCAGCAAAGCTTAGCAAGAAAAGGCAAGAGATGACTGTTACCCACTTCATGGTTCCAAATTGGTTAGGGGCTTGAGTATGCAGGGTAGGAAGAGCAAAGGAGAAGATGATGCTCTTATACTCTAGCACACACATGTTGGATTAATAATCACCCTCTTGAGGACGCAAGAAAAGACCATGCTAATAATTAAATTGATAAAATATTTATTCATGATGTTTGTCTTGTCACAAAAAGTCCTGGCAAAGCTCTTTTTGAAGGAGCAAGGCAAATACATATTCACCTTATCATACTTCAAATACATTAAGCAAACTGATTTCTTTGTTACCCTGTATCTGAAATACCAACCTTTCCCCTCTCAAAATTTGGACCAAGGTGAATGGGAATGACATGAGTGGGCTAGAGCTTTCCCTCCTTTCTTCTTTTTTCAAGTTAATGAGCCCAAGTTCACAGCAGAGGTCTGTGACGTTAGTTTCCAAGGCTGCTGATGAGTCAACATTTGTTCTTTTGCAACAGAGTCTGAACATCTGGACTGTACTCAGATAAAATGTAAGATGGTGTGATGTGTCTCCCCACTAAATCTTGCAGGTCCAATTTTTCTCTACATTTGGGAAATCATAATGATAATTCCTATTTATTACCTGTTGGGATGAGTGGTGCTTTGAAGGCGCAATTGTATGACAACATCAATCACACTTCTTTGTCACTGTTTAGAATGGACACTGGGAAGAAGTTAACATCTACTCCCAAAACCTAGCCTATTGTTCAAAGCACAGCAGATTCCCAGATTTGCTTGCAGCAGTCTTCCCTGCAGGGAACTCATCTGTTGGATGAGATAGCAAAGGGCCTCATAGTACAATCCTGCTCAAGAATGAGCACTTTCTTCTGGAACAAAGAACTGGGCAAATTCCTTGAAGTATGGGGCAGCTCAGAGGCACCAGAGCACTTCAGGTCCACACACCATGACAATCTCCGCCTGTGGTTTTTGGTGCAGATGAAAAAGAGGGTCCTCATGCACCACAATCAAGTGATAAGATGCACCTTGTGCTCTCAGCAAGAAGTTCCAGCAGATAATCGTGCACAATAAGAATTCCAGGAAGGCCCCAGAATCATGCTCATCTATGACTGGTGTGTCTCCTCCTGGATCAGAGCTGTCACCCCTGGTTACACCATGGGAAATGGCATCTTTCCTGCCAACCTTGATGGTCGCAAGGCATCCAGTCTCCATCCAGGAAGTCTCCGTCCCCCACTCCCTGAACTTCTATAAGGATAGAGCTGCATCCTGTCCAGGCAAGCCCATCCAGTGTGACTCGGTGCCCCATGCCCCATGGCACCCTCTCCAGACCACCAGATGTTTCCACTGGCAAACCTTGATCCACAGCCTTACCAAAACAGGGTGACCCCCTCCCCCAAGGATGTAAGGGTATGAAAAGTACCTTTTCAAAAAAGTACCTTTGTCCCTCATTTCTTACCTCTTGACAATGGGGGCACCTTACCATAAATGAAAGTGGGCATAAAGCCCTGGAGGAGCTTTCACTCACAAACATGCAATTTGCCATGGATCTGAAGAAGCACATTGCAGAGAAAGGAATTTGTCGGAGCCATGAAACTGGCTGGAGAGGGGGCCTATGATCTGTTCCAACATATGAATGAACAAGAAAACCAAAGGCAGACTGCCTAATAGTGGACAGGTAACAGCTTCAATGGTAGCTTGCATATCTCTGTGTATGAGTGTGTCATACAGCCTGCATGAAGCTATAGACTGGGGTCTGCTGCACCCCTACACCCTCCATAGGCCCATTTCAGCTCTTCCATGATGGGTCACTTCAGCAGACCTTCTGCTCATCTTCTTCCCCCACACGGCTGCTTCATCTGAGGGGTGTGGGAGAAAATGACGGGGGGTAGGGTGGCAGAAAAGATGCCTGGAGAACTCTGCAGATGAATGAGGAAAGGGCAGACAATGCACACAGGAGCAATAGAGGTTTTCAAGTGCAGTGGCTGATGGGATGGGTGCCAATGTCAGGAGAAGTGAGTGAGGAAGGTAGAAAGCATGTTAGCATCGAATTACTGTGTATCTATCCACTGCTGGGGTGTACTACTCATGTCAAACATTCTGAACACTTGTTGAAAGTGAGGCCCTGCGTTACAAAAGTTATTCTGTGCATCTGATGGAGTGGAGTATAGTCCACTGGCTTATGCCAGAATAAATACTCTTTATTGCATTGCTGCAATTAGACCATCCATCTGCACTCTGGAAACAGATCAGATCAGACTATAATAACTGGGATATACTAGTTCTGGAAATACAGTGCCTGTTTTCTTCGTTTCGGAACAGAACAGAATGTCCCATCTTTACCACAGCTGGCATGTATGCACCAGCTGCCAACAGCTGTTCTATGAATGCACGGATGGATGTGTGGACTTGTGCACACCTGATCCCTGTTCACAAGAGCCCCATGAAAAGAGTGAAGGTCCCACTGGCACCAAGAGACCTTATTGTACACCCATTGAGATATTATGTACTCAGCATGTGTTCTTACAGGAAGTGAGAAGACCATCCTAGACAGAAGGGCTTAGAAGGATCTAGTGATCAGTAATATCCTGTCTCTGAATGTACAAGCCACATGCCTCTACCATGAGAACTAATCACTGAACAAATCAATGATCTGTCCAATTCCTTTTTCTACCTTTCTAAACTAGCATATATTGTCACCTCACGCTAAGATATTGATCATTCATGGTCTGAAATTGGTGCTAACCCCATCATGCTCTCTTTTCCTTTTCCTTCCTTTTTAAAATTAACTTGGCTAATAGTGGTACCTCCAATAAAAGGAAGGAAGAATTATTGCTCACTACTTATTGCAAACCGTTCATTACTTTGTAATTCAATGAATGGTTGATCCAGTTAGGTTTCCACTGACAAAGAGGACTCTTCTGTTGAAGGGTCATGCTTCCATTTAATCTGGGAAGCATGTATAATATAAATTAATCCTACAGTAGATGGTCCTACTGAGAGATTCTCTCTTAAGAACATGGTCTTAATTGCAGGCCAAGCCAAGATTGCCCTATGCCCTGATTTTGCATCATGTAATATGTTTGCAGTTACAGAATAATCACTGATTAAGAGGTTTCATTGTAGATTTTAAGAGTTCAGTCTTACTATATGCTGCTGAAATGGCTTTGACTTTAATGAACCCAGAGAAATCTATTTTCACAAGTTGTGTCAATATTAAAGGACGTTGCAATTGTATTAGAGCATCAAGTTAACTTTACAACAGAAGAATGAAGGGGAATAAATGGATACATGGGTTAAATACTCCTCCTCCTCCTCCCATGACCACCACAGCTGCTCATTTAGTAGATGATAATGTGCAGAATAGCTTCCAAAATTAAATAATGTAGATTCTGAATGCTACAGAATTTAAATAACAAAATCCAACTCATTAATCAAATTGTTACAGAGAATCAAATTGAATTGACTCAATTTTTAGTGCATTCCAATGCAAGTCTATTGACAAGTAAACCCCACTAATGTCAACTCTCAGGACTGCAGCTTAACTCTCTTTCCAATACAATTAAGATTATTATGTTACTACAGACAGAAACTTTTTAAACTGAGAAACATGTCTGATACATTTTCCCCCCAATAATGGTTGTGTGGGTGGGGGGAGCAGCAACAGAATCTGGATTCCAGGCCTGGAGAACCCTTCCTGATTGCTTTGTCTGAGAGAAGAGAAAATGTTTCCTAGGGTAGCATCCTAATCCCACACTAAGTAGGGAGATGGAATTGAACTTTTTCTCTCCCTGGAATACTTCCAGCCAACCAAATAAATGAATGCTAGTCTACAAATGAAGCTGCAATTCAAACTGCATAGGAAGCCTCCCTTGGTGAAATATAATGAAGATTAAATCAAATAATTGTTTTAAATTTCTTATTCTTAAAATTTCGACAGATAGATCAATTCTGCATGTAGAATTTGACTTGTTTCCACTGCTGATACAGTCAAAAGAAAAGATCATCCAGATTCCTTTTTATTATTATATTTATTTATTTAAAACATTTCTATGCCACCCCCATCGCAACAAAGCCTCGGGGCAGCTCACAAAAAATACACAAAAACATACATAAACAATAACAATATAACAATTTAAAAGAAAAAAAAAACATTTAAAAACCCCCGGTGCATTCTTGGCTAATTTTAAAATCCTAATAAATACAGTAATTTAGCAATTAAAATAAGTTTTAAATAAAAAGGTCTTAGCCTGGCGCCGAAAAAAAATAATGACAGCGCCAGGCGGACATCTCTGGGGAGCGCATTCCATAGATGTGGCGCCACCGCAGAGAAAGCCCTCCTTCAGGTATTCACCCTCCTAATATCATTCACAGAGGGTTCCCGGAGAAGGGCATCCATTGCTGATCTCAAGGGGTGAGAGGGCATATATGGGTGCAAGTGTTCCTTTAGATATCCAGGTCCCAATTATAGGTATAACCCTTTATAGGTGTTTCCCTTTGAAATGATAAAGATAATGAAAATGAATAAATCAGAATGAGAACCCCAGAAATAAGGTCATGGCTGATACCAAGATCAATGCACTCCCTCTAATAATGAACCCAGGTAGTGAGTTCCAAGCAAGGTAGAGCCAAAACATGGCCACTTGAAAATTAGATTTTGACTTCAGCATGATCCAGGGAAACCCAATTTTTGCAGCATTGCAAAGAACAAAGCAAAACAAAAACTTGAAGGATCTGTTAAGGACTGAGTGTCCTCACTAACCATGAAATGTTGCGTGTCAGTTAAAAGAGGAAAACAGAAAATGAGGGGTAAGGTGTGGTTTGTATGTCTTGCTTGAAAGACTGAGATGGTATCTGGATTAACACAAATGTTATGGTTTAAGCCATAAGCAATCTAAGATGTCTGGGTTTGCACATCACAAAGCAACTTGTGAACAGGAAATGAAAATGGATTGTGTGTTCCACACATCCGTGGCAAATTGTGGGTTAATTATCTCACAGGTTGGCACTTGTGTATGCAAACCAGCCCACTGGCAGATCATAGTAGCCTTGAAGAGAGTCGGGTTGGTTGCGCAGACCCGTGCAGATGATACGATTAGGAATTGGGGAAAATTATTTTGGTTCTCATTTTAATGTGAAGGAAAAGTATTTTAGGAGCATGAACATCTCTGCAACATGCAGTTCCCTATTCAGCCTGACCTAGCATCATTCCAAATGAGTGTCAGCTGGCAAAGTGAACACAGGAGTTCGATTCCCATCCATAATTTTGCATTCATCAAACATGCACGCAGTGAATGTACATTTTTAAGTAGAATGCCTTAGATGCATTTAGGAACCCCGCTGTAGTCACTGAGACCTATATAAGTCATGACTTGATTAAACCCAATGTGTTTCAGTGGGTTTTCCCATCCAATGCAGAGAAAATCAGATAGGTCTGCAGGAGTGGGGAGGGCAAGTTCCAATTTTTACCAGCTGCAGTGGTCCTGAGGAAAATCGCAAACCTCCTTGAGCTGCTACTTGAAGCTTCCATAGGCCACAATGTATTGTGGCACTTGTAAGCACAGGGAATCCCAGAGATGCAAAGAGGTTTTTGTCCTGATTTTATCGACAACAATCTTTATTCAGTCACCCCATTGCCTAATGTTATAAAAGTGCATGTTTTTGTGCATATGTGAGAGAGCATGGTAAGGGTGGGGAATCCCCTCACTTTGCCACTTGGTACAATTATTCTTTCTTTGCTATTTCCTCAATAGAGAATTTCATATGTGTTTAGCATTTCCAATTTATTGCTAAAAATAGCGTAAACATATACTGGCATGTGTCCTGAGGGACTTCTTCTCTGCCACTTTTTAGAACACAGGTGCTCATTCCTCTATGTATATATTTAACAATGTTTTATTGTTTGAAATGATTGTTGTGAATATTTAAGAGAATCCCCTGTGGCAGAAGTACCCAGAGAGATTACATCTTTTGCCAAGGAAGATAAACAGGCACAAGATGTATTCAGACAATGCAGCCTGGATCTTCATGCATGGCTCTTGTTGCATTTATTGTGCAGGAATACATTTTGTGCAGCAAATGGGGCTGCCCCACACAACCCATTTCTGAGTTTCCTGCTAAGTTGCCAGCAGAGATCAAAACAGCAATGGAAAAAGCTTGTTTGAAGGTACAGAGGCTTGTGTGCGCATTTGTGAAAGACAGAGGAAGAGGGAGAAAGTGTTCTAGAGGAATTACGAGATCATCACATTGGGAGTTTGGCCTCTCTCAAGATCTTTTGCAAATAATTCGGGTGATTTTTTTCGAAGCAGTCTAGGTTTCCTGAAATCTTCTCAGCAAGAGTGCTAATGAGGACAATATTTTTGGAACTGTTTGGATACAAAGCATGCTCACAGTCATGACAGTCCTCTTTCATCACATGTGGGCTTGCTGCATACTGTTGAAGTACATGAATTGTGCAAAGAAGCTCCCAGGTTTCTTCTGAACTTTATAGGAATAAAAGGGCTTTAGGTAGAGGAGCTAAGAAGGACCACTAGTCGATATGGTTGAGAACTGCGACCTTTCATAATGAGGTAGGTAGGCCTTTTCATAAATCCTCACTGCAGTTTCTGTTTGCTGATATTTGCAATGCTAAAGAAGCCTACAAGTTTTGTCAGCATTGGTTTAGGTGAACAGATTAACATGAGGAAAATATCACCAGAGATATTCAGTTGTTGTTGTTAGTCGCGAAGTCGTGTCTGACCCATTGTGACCCCATGGACAACATTCCTCCAGGCCTTCCTATCTTTCACCATCCCTGGAGTCCACTTAAACTCAAGCTGACTGCTTCAGTGACTCCATCTAGCCACCTCATCTTCTGCTGTCCCCTTCTTCTTTTGCCATCTATTATGCCCAGCATTAGGCTCTTCTCCAGGGAGTCCTTCCTTCTTATTAGGTGGCCATCTTCAGAATCAGATATTCAGTTACAACCACTATATTTGCCTCAGCTGAGGGCTTCTCAGAAGCATCTGGCTTGCCAATGTGGAAAAGAGGATGTTGCATTAGATGGACTATTGGTGTGATCCAGCAGGGCTTTTCTTATGTTTTCCTGTATGTTCTGTAATAAATATGCAAACAGCCTATTGAATTTGCAGTAAAATTGCTGTGCCTACTTTTAACAAATATCCACAAGCATTTACAAACTCACTTTTTAAAGATTCTCTACTAATTTCCTGTGTCACTACCATATATAAGAAATTGCCTTGTCCCTCCCAAAATATTTTGTATGTAGCTGATACAAATGGTAGGGAAATTTAAAATCTGTTATTCTCTCCTTTAATTGCCATGGAATTGGGTCAGTTGTACCATATAAACAATACACGTCCAACTGGACAATTGACCTAGTTGTACAGTTGGGTCAATCGTACCATATAAACAAGAATAATTAAGAGAAAATTAACTTGGGCATGTCTTTTTTCATTCTACTTTAGACATAAGACCCTGAAATAAATGAATTCTTACAACATAATGTGCTTTTCTGTACATGTGGCATGTGACTGTTTAATGTTCCCATCTCTCTCAAGATAAATCACATTGTTTTAATAATACCAAATAATTAAAAAAAAATCTCTAGCTCTCAGGGGTTCAAGAAGGCAAATAAGAATTCATACATGATACAACTAATCTGGACATTATGGACATAAGAATGTAAGAAGGCTCTGCTGGGTTAGACCAAAAGTCTACTTAGTCCATCACTCCGGTCCTGCAGGGGCTGACTAGAAGCTCCTGTGGCTGTGAAGTCCACAAGTGTATGGATGTGCCAGCACACTTCTCTTAAGTGCTGCTACATCAAATTTGGGGTACTGACCAAAGCTGAATATTTATGTAGTTATGTCAGTTTCATTTCCATTTTTGAATGACTGCAGTTTCCATTGTAGGAACTTTACCTGCTGGATGAAAGAATCAATGGGGAAAAAAGAAAGGGATAATCAAACGATGGTGACAGAATTCATCCTCATAGGATTCAAGACTCTACCTGAGTTTCAGAAACTCCTCTTTGTTATGTTTTTAGTAATCTATACGGTGACCATAGCTGGAAACATCCTCATTGGCACTATAGTTCTGGCTGATCATCACCTTCACAAGCCCATGTACTACTTCCTGGGAAACCTATCTATTTTAGAGACTTGCTACACCTCCACCATTGTTCCTAGGATTTTAGCCAGTTGTATAAGTGACTACCATGGAATTACTTTCAGTGGGTGTTTCCTGCAATTCTATTTCTTTGCTTTTTTAGCTGGAACTGAAAGCTACCTCTTGTCTGTGATGTCCTATGATAGATATTTAGCTGTATGCAAGCCACTCCATTATATAACCCTCATGAATAGGAACTTATGTGTTCAGTTGTCCCTTAGTTCTTGGATCACCGGCATTGTGGCTAGTGCATTTACAACAAGTTTCATTTCACAGTTGAAGTTCTGTGGCCCCAATGAAGTGGACCATTTCTTTTGTGATTACACACCGCTCTTAATATTGTCCTGTAGCAACACTCAACAGACAGAACTGGTGATGACCATCCTGGGTTCTCTGTGTACCATCCCACCACTGCTACTCACACTCGCTTCCTATGTTTGCATCATCAGCACCGTTTGGAAAATCCCTTCAAACAGTGGCAGGAGCAAAGCATTTTCGACCTGCTCTTCCCATCTTACTGTGGTCACACTTTTCTATGGCACCCTAATCTTTGTGTACATATTACCAAAAACCAGCACACTGAGGAACCTGAACAAAATTTTCTCTGTTTTCTACACCATCCTGACCCCCATGATCAACCCCTTCATCTACAGCCTGAGAAACAGAGAATTTAAGGAGGCCTTCAGGAGAGTTGCAAGCAAACTTGTGCCATTGCAAGTAACTCAGGGAGTCCAACCTCGGTAAAATATCTATACTGTATATGTATATATCAGCTATATAGCTATACCTCTATATACATAGATATCAGTAGTGATGCAGAACATGTTTCTCTTCAAAAGACCCAGTGAAATCAACTGAAATCTACTCATCAAGGGGTTTAGGAAGTGGAGCATTGGACTCCTGTGGGGCTGGGTGGAATGATGCACCATTTCAGCTGGAGGGGGGATGTTACATCTTGCATCCTCCAGTGTATACAACTCTCCTCCTCCCTACGTGTAATGGAAAGGGATAAACCCTGAGGTGCTGGAGTTTGCTTCTCTTTTGACAAATATGCAGATAAGTTGAGATTTTGAGTGCGTGTTTTATCAAAGCAAAATATCCAGTAATTCCACCTACATTGTAAAGAGATAAAGAGCCAGTGTGGTGTTATGGTTAAGAGTGAGGGACTGGAGACCTGGGAGATCTGAGTTCTAGTTCCCACTTGGTTGTGAAGCTCACTGGATGACTTTAGGCCAGTCACAGACTCTCAGCCCAACCTACCTCACAGGGTTGTTGCTATAAGGATAAAATGGAGCTATGCAAATTGCCCTGGGTTCTTCACAAAAGGAAATAAGACGGGAAGTATATGGGATATAATAATTTATCCCCAATCTCTTGGTCAAATGATTTCCAAGGTTATAACAATAGAAGAGATGACAATGGGTAAACTGTTTGGGGGTGGGATGATTCTCTGGCTCCTTCCCTTTACCTTCATCTGCTGAAAGGCAGATGAATCTAAGAGTTCTTTACAGAAAAGGGTGGGGAAATAAACTTCCTAAGCAGTTGTCCTCCTCAAGCAATTAGTTGGGACTAGGCTGGTCTATCCTCCACCTCTTCCTCCTTTCCCATCTGTATCATGGCTTCTTTTCCTCTGCCAAGGAATCGAAATTGGTTTATGTGTTCCTCCTGTTCTCCATGTTATTATCACAAGAACCCTACAGAGTAGGTTAAGCAGAGAAGCAGTGACCAGAATCAAGCAACCCAATGAGCTTTAGAACCAAGTGAGGGACTACAGCCCAGTTACTCCAAATCCCAGTTCAGCACTTTGCCAGTGGACCACAATAGAAACATAGAAACAGAGCGAGTCTGAAGGGGTCTCCCGGGCCATCTAGTCTGACCCCCGGCTCCAGCCAGCTCTGCTCACGACATGCCCACCATGTGTATGTCCAGCCTATCTTCAAACACCCACACCAATGGGGTCTCAATGACCTCCCATGGAAGCCCATTCCATACCCTAGGGGTCCTAACTGTCAGGAAGTGCTTCCTGGCATCTAAATGGAACCTTGGCTCCCAATCTTAGTGTTCTTCCTAGGAGTGAGGAAGAGATCTGCTTTTGAACTCTTGCATGCTTACTTTAGACCAGGCCTTAGCAGTAATCAATGCTGCAAGCTACAAACCAATTCACCCCTGTCAAAAAAACTGGGATAAAAGTAAATAATTAATAGACTTCCATGTGAGTAAGTCCAAGGTAAGAAGTCATCCACCCTAGCCTCAATGAACCGAACCTACAACCCTTGCCTTCCACCCTGGTTTCAAGTTTTGTTTGCTCTTGATTTTATCTTTTTTTAACCTCCCCACTTTTTTTTTTTAATTGAAAACCCGTTCTTTTTCCAATATCCCTTGATTTCTCAGGGCTTCTCTCTGGTGTTGCTTCTGTGTAGAATTAGAGAATGACTCTATCCCCCACTCTGCTTCTAATAAGGAAAAAATAAATAAATTGAATTTAGTCCCAGTTTCCTGCAGTGCATATGATATGACACTGTTTTTTCCCCCAGTGTCTCTTGCTTTACTTTCTGACCAAGCAGCTCACCATACCTTAAACCTTTTTATTTTTTATTGTTTCAGTGGGGGATTACACTTATCACATCATTTTGTTTCCATTTAGCTTGTGTGCCTAGTTTCCTTTTGCATTCATCAGTGTCTCTTCATTATCTTTTTTTTTTTTGTATTTGCAAGATTTTACCCTGCTTTTCAGCAAACTGAGACAAACGCTCACACATTCACAAACACACAAAACCTCATAGAGCAGTCACTAGAGATTAATATCAAGACATCACATTATGTCATGATTCATTAGCTATTCTCCTGAAATTCCCTGTTTTATGCATCTGTGGTAGGCAATTAAGTCCAAATGGATTTGTCCCCTGTTAGGAATGGGTAAACACAAATGATTCCAGAGGGATTGTAATCCCACTCACCTTTTGATTCTGGTTTTATTTGCTTTATTTTGCATTACTTTCACATTTATTTATTTATCATTACAAATATCCATTCATTCATTACTTTTCTTCTGAAATTCCCTCTTCTTGGTTTGTCTTAGGCATGCAGGTCAGTCCAGCAGAGTACAGAAAGGAGCATTGCCATAAGCTGGTGATTCTCCCAGTGCAATCACATGCTATTATGAAATAACCACAAAAAGCATCCATATCCCCATAGGCTTTACACCCATTCTTCTTAAACTTTGCAGATGAATTTGGCTAGTCTGCTAACATGGTGTAGTACAGTGGTTTATTCATGAATTTATTTTTGGTGAGGACTATGGCCAATTGAAGTTCAAACTAAAGCAGTACCAAACCTTGCTCCCTAATTTTGGGTGTCCACTCATTTCCTATTCCAATTCAGTTATTGAGGGGAAGACACCCGGAATGTTGCAGTTGGGATTAGCTTATTCATTGTTTAAACTACTTTTATTTTGCCCTGCATGTGCTTGTGTAAAAATTTCAGTTCTCAAAGTCCCATCCTGGAAGCACTTCCTGAAATACCTATTGGATTGCATTATCTTGTTTAATCAATCCCATTATCCCATGTTTAGTCCATGTGCAGTCCGGGCCTAGCAACACATTTGGATTATCTTGTTTAATCAGTCCCATTATCCTGTGTTTAGTCCATGTGCAGTCCATGCTCGTATAAAAATTTCAGTTCTTAAAGTCCCATCCTCGAAGCACTTCCTGGAATACCTATTGGATTACATTATCTTGTTTAATGTGTCCCATTATCCCATGTTTAGTCCATGTGCAGTCCAGGCCTAGCACCACATTTCAGATTTCCCACCAAAGGGCTAAACCTTTGTGCTGAATGCCAATTTGCACAGGGAGCAAAGGAAACGAACTTCCATCTCATCCTACTCATCTCCCCAACCACACTGGAGAATGGAGGTGTGAACATTTTTTTTTATCATGTATTAACATGGACCAATCTGATTTACACTTCTTAAAAAAATCTGTGAACTCTAGCATGAATATCCTTTGGTGTTTCACTGCTCTGTTTCCATATCGTTCTTTGGTTTAAAATGTCTACCAAATTGTGCATATTACAGGAAGTGGCAAACAAAAATGCACACATACTTTCATGCTGACTTGTTTTAGAAACTGAATACTGGTGGGGATACAGGTGAAAACAAAATAGGGCTTGGAAAAGGGGGATGTTATAGAATGCTGTAGGAAACAAAGCATTTCCTAGCCCTGCTGCCAGATGTCATTCTTCCCTTACTATGCTGTTATGACATGGTTACAATATGATTGCCACATCACAGTGCAATGGAGATGAATAATGACAGGGTTGCCCAGACTTGCTAATGTTTCATCTTTAAAATCATCCAGAATCTTCACCTGCCCTTTCTAAGCAAGAAAGCAAACAATATGGAGAGGAACAATGAGCGCAGGGATGCCTCTGCTCCAGTGCTCCATCAAGGCTTTCCAAATGAAAGCCATATCTACAAGTGGTTTGTGTATTCTCTTCTGTGACCTCTTGTCTAATCTACCATGGGCAGTCCTCTTTTTCTTATACCCATCCTTGGTAAATTACCTTTAGAGTCCTCTTGTCTGCAATGATTAATTTAAAATATAACTGAACTTAAATAAAATAAACAATAAATGGAAATAAATCTTTATATCATCTGTTATCTTGTTCCTTGCACACATGCATGTAAATACACATTTATTGTTTATTTTTATAAATAAACAATCAAACCACACAATTTTAAAAAAGGAAGAAGAAAAAAGGAAAGAAAAATAAAATAAAATTGTTGAATAGAATTTAAGGAAAAAGTTCCACAACACTGTTTTCATTTACATTGTGTATTTCTATAAGTTAGTATATAATAAAACTTAGTATCATTATTAAAAAAAATAGTTATTCATAGACTTCAACAAAGGCACCCTAAACATCCATAAGTTTTTCCATTTGTAAGTGATGCTTAAAAGCTACCCATTCAAAAATAGAAACTTCCACTAAATTCTCTACCTATGGTGTTACTGGTGGCCATTTACCTTTCCAATGTTGCAATAATAGTCTTGTAGCTGACAAAGGAGAGGGGAATCCATTTACATTAGATTCATTACAAATCTATTACTTTGCATTAGATTCCATGAGATGGGTAGGCAATTCAAAGGAACATATATATCCTTAAATAGTAAAGAACTTCCCATCACAAGATTAATCCAAACCATTCCCCCTAAAAGTATACTCCCAATGGGCATCAGCAAAGCATATTGAGGAGTGAAATATTAGTAGCATTACACCTTATGACATCACTGGTTTTAAATTCAATTCAATTCAATTTTAATTTGATAGCGTCAATGTTTTGTTGATATAAATATAATGTTTTATTTTGTCTATTTATTATAATATTTAATTGTATTGTTTTATTAAGGTTGTTGTTGATTTTAATATAATGGCAGCCCAGAGAGCATTATGCTAATGAGCAGTGTTTTTAGACATTAATTAATTAATTAATTAATTAATTCTTCTTGTCATTCTCTTCTTTGCATGCTAAATATAAATTTTCAACTATGGTCGTATGGCAATGCATGTAATTTAGATATTTGTTAGAATATAGGTTTAGTCCAGCTGCTTTTACAGATTCAGTACTGCCTGTGTTATTGGTAGTATTGATGAGGCTGTAAAAATTGCGCACGCATGAATATTAAGATACAAGATAATGCACAGTCTGCCATTTCTTGTGTTGCAGTTGGGGTAACAGAACT